GAGAAGCTCCAATATCTGCAGGAAAAGATATCTCTAGAGTTTGGAAATCCACAAAAAACGCGCTTGTTTAGAGCGTTTTATAACTTGAACTGGATATATGTTTTTATAAGTATTACGATACAGTAATTGAGAAGCTTAATATAAAAGAAGAGACTCCATTATCATTTCAAGCTACTATTGTCCCTAGCTTTATCACATTGTACTACACTTCGCTTCACTATTTATTTAACGCTTGCCATTACAGCTTTAACTTCAAAACAATGCCTCCTACAAGGAGTTTTGCCGAATCTACGAAATTTTTTATCAGGGGGGTCGGAGGATGCCTATAAACGTTTCTTCATCCTTTTCGTTATTGCCACTTATGCTGCAACCTTCTTCTATTTTTACTTCGTTATCGTCGTCGATGTGTGGAGTAGTAGACAGCGTAAAATGCGATACCCCGTAACACGGTCCGAGCTTCCAAATCGCTACGAAGATTCGCTTGCACGCATTACGTTAGCCAACCGGGTTGACCGACAGTTTATTGGTTGCTGTGGATGCACTGTTGCCGCTTTCGATCGCCTGCATCGCCGGTTCGTGCGCTTTTATCTGGCTTTAAAGCAGCGTGGTCGTAAACGGTTTTTACCAAGTGAAGCCGTCTTGGCTCTCACTCTGACCTGGCTTCACACATACAACAGACAGGACACAACCGGTTCCCTCTATGGTGTTGTGCCAGCTACTACCTCGAGAGCAAGGAATCTTGGTCTAGAGACGCTGTACAAGGTCTTCTCAAATGAGAACGACAGGCGATGGCGAATTCGTTGGTCATCACAGCAAGAAATGGCTCGATTTGCATCAATCATACAGCATGTCGAACCATCGTTGCAACGTGTATTCGGTTTCGTGGATGGACTCAACCTAAGAATCGAGAATCCAGGCGAAAACAATATTCAAGACGCGTACTACAATGGATGGCTGTCTGACTGTTATGTAGCACAGGACATTGTTTTCACGCCGAATGGTCGCATATGCTGGATCAAGTAGGTGTCATGCTAATTTACTTTTACTTCATGTCACATTGCTATCTAGTATGAATGGATCACTGACAATTGAGCTTAACTTAGCTACAACTGCCCTGGATCATCGCATGATTCTAATATTACCGAGCCACTCCTATCTACAGTTCTTCGAGAAAAACGCCTGCAGGCTACCGGCTTCTTGCTGATTGTGCTTCCCGCGATCTGCTGCCATGTCACTGCCAAGATTTTTAAGGTTCCGAAGATGAACAGCCGCGAGTACGACAGAAACCAGTGCCGTTGGTATGGTGTTATTACAAGAAACCGACAAGCCATTAAATGGGGAATGCGATCAATTCAGTCATCATAAATCAGAGGTTATATCTTACCTCTTAGTACAGATGCCACCCAACGTCGAATGATTTTATATATAATATTCAAATTACATAACTACCGAGTTTCAGAAGTACAACTAAGTCAAATTAGACGCGTTTACCAAGAAGCTTGGAGCGAATCAAACGAATAAGTGAGTAAACAGTTTATTCGGTATAAAATCCTTTTTGGAAGACCTTTCTTTTATCCCTGCAGGATAAACTTTATTTTTCTTGTGTGACCATGTTTATCCTATCCGGTATAAACATTTTGGAAGTCATCCGATAGCGTTACAGGTATATAGCATGGGCGTAAACTGAAGTGAAATGCCCCTTTGGAAAAGAACAGCGCTTCTATTTACATTGAACACCCAAGTTTTTGATCTCCATGTGGTTTGCTGGGGAAGGTTCGATCGATGTTTTGCAAGTAAGTTCCGCTATTTGACGCGCCAATAAATGTCCCAGTTTCTAATCCAATCCGACGCTTCAGCTGCTTTTACTTCGTTCAGAACTTGCTGAAGTTTTTAGATCAGTCTTACATTTATGTTGAAAGTTTTATCATGGTGTACTTGTATTGGGTTTACTTTTAAGCTTTCGTATTGATCCACTTACTTGGGGGTTTGTCCTGGCCTTGGGAAGCTTTAAAAGAAAAGCAAACGAACTGCAGGAGATTACGTTCAATGCTGAGAAGGGTGAATAGTTTTCCACGCTTAACTGACAATCCATAAGAGGCATGTATTAGTCTGCATTACACATTCACTATCAGCAACTAAATGTGCTTCTGATAGGTCGTTTGATAGGCGTAGCGCCTTCTCGGTATGATAAGGCAAAGTCACTAATATTATATGGACCATGCAATTTTTACTTCAGACATGCTTCATATACCATTTTGCTGTAAAAAGTTAGAGCCGGTTTCACGAGTGACATACTAGTAGCTCGCTTCATGAACAGCGAGTATTCACAATTACGAACTTGCGGAATAAATAAAGACACAGAAAAAAAGTCTTGTGAGCTCAAGAAAGTAACAGTGATGAGTACAATAATAATACCACCATAAGGGAAACTGTTGCCAAAATGATTGCATTTGCAAAAGGACGTGAGCCTTAGATGGAGGGTCTTAATTTACCAGAAGCAGCGTATACTCGTGACGCTCAGCAGCAGTCAGCATATACTCGTGATCGAAGATTCTATACTATATCAGCAGCAGCATACAATCGGGATGGAGGATTCTACTTTACTAGCAGCAACGTATACTCGTCATGGGCTAGTCTCCTTTGGCAGCATCAGCATACATACACTCGGAGTGAGCTGGTTTGTATGTAATGGTAAGGCAAGCCAGCAGCAGAATCTGTGATAAAGAAAATCTGTCAAGCGCTTGTATTCTTCTTGTTTTTTTCTTCTTTCGGTTATTCTTGAAGCAGCTATTGATGTCGAAGTAACAAGCACAGCAACTCAATACAATATGGCGGATCCCCAGGGAAAGGTCAACTTAATGCTTGATTGAAAGGATATCATATTCATCAAATACTTTGACATTGAAACGCAACCCTCAAAGTAAGTGGAGATGACAAATTTATATATACCTTGCAACGATACAAGTGAGACATGGATATTTATGCTCTTTATCATACATGTAACGGATAATAATACAAAAGCCCCGTGGATCATATCGTTGTTAAACCTAAGTATGCTGTTTAGTCGCTTGCGGTCGTGATTAAACTAATGGTTGGAAATGCGAGCAATACATAACTCGAATTTTATGAGGCAAATAGTGTAAAAATGATAGGCAAAGAGAGGGTGTCGCTAGAAAGTTTTGCTTATTTTATTATAATGGATCTGTGGTGGCAATGTTTATATGATAGGAAGTGAAACATACAATGATTGACGAACTACAAAAAACATCAAGAGCTTTCATCGAGCATGAGCTTCAAACGGGTGATATTATTTGGGCACAAAAAGCTTTGACAATCAATGAGTGAGTTTGCTTCATGGTTTCTGTCAATTTTGGGATCATACCGAAAGGGAGGCTCAGCTAGGAGGAAGCGCGCTTGTCAAATCTTTTAATGTCTTCTTGTTATTATTATATCTGTACCTAGACTCAAATATTTGAACGTCAAGTACCAAGACGTACCGGCCTACTTGACGGATATATCAACAATCAACAGCAGCAGAAGCAACAGCTACAGTAGTATGATATTGGTGAACCCAGTATCACTATGAGCCGTCGTGCTTTACATTGTATGATTACTCTATAATTCATCAATAAGTAGAGCATATTGACGACTAACTACCATTATAAGGCGAGGGAGTTTGTAAAACAAGAACGCTGATGACAAATCACTAACCTTTATACAATTAGAACGAATGTTATAAGCTAGATATACTTCTTCAACGTTGTATCTACGTTTTAGTATAATCTCACAATTTCCAACAGAGCAACTTCACACACATAATAACGAGCGAGTAATCTAAACATAGTAGAAGCTAACAACTTGTAAGCTCAATCCCCACTAAAAAGCTAAAGTGTCAATGCTTGCTTATTGTTGCAGATCCTTAAAATAGCTTCAAAAAATGGTGTCACTATTACTGCAGAATCATATAGAAGTTGGAAGATTCTTAAAGCGGCCCGAATCACAGGCTGATCCCTACTACAGATAGAGAGTGGTCACGGAAGCAAAGGGAACAAGGTTAGTGTTTTGAAACTTACTAAATCAATATCACAGAGCGAAAACTAACCGGGATGATTGGTGATGGGGACAAAGAAGCGTGAAGTGTTATTATTGAAAGGCGAAACACTGAGTTTTATTGAGAGGGGTATCTTCGATTTCGTCTTTTTGTTGGTGTGACTTGGCTATAACGGCGAGTATTATGTTTTGCCTCTAATGTGTAAATTTACATACGGGTGGGGCTTTATTTGTACAAGACTGCAACGTCGACGAGAAGCCTAGAAACAGTAATGGCGGAAACCATCGGCTTTAGAATGAGAACGACGTCGACAAGAAGTACTCTGTACAATTCTTGTACATATGCAACTGCTTTGAAAACTACCATTTAAAGAAATGTGTCATAAAAAGTATGACGTTTGTACTGCTTCAATGGAAGAAAAAATTTGCGAACCAACCAACTGGTCACAAAGTTTCCGTACGTCTAATATCAAGTGCAGGCAGAATAGCACGCTTCGTTCACTTAACGGCACTAATACCCAACTAAAGCATGGATGCAGTGCGTCATCGTTGTCGGTGCTTAGATGTTATAATGTTACCTTTGTAATCTGTATGATGGTGCATCATGCTCAAGAGCAAAAGACGCATAGCATGCGTGAAACTTGCATCGACGGTTGTATTAATAGTACTGTACAGCACAGCGATATACACATGTTAAGAACTTTCAAAGCACGAAATAAAGTTCTGGCGCCCGAATGTTTCATGCTATCTTTCACTTGCATTGAAAAGTAAAATAACAAGGAGAGCAACGTATCACTAAACAGCCAAGGAGCGATCTATGTTTGACAAAGGTGAGTACAAGAGGTTGCTAATGATAATGAAAGAAAAACAATAAAGGAGTGGAGCGGGGGGAATTTATGCCAAAGACACACACAGGGCGAAGTCGGCCAGAAATACATCGTCAATATCTTTACCTTAAAGCATAGTTAGAGAACCTTCAATGTGGAAGCAGGGCTCAGAGAAGGGCGGCAAATGAGGCAATGCGTAGTATATGTATGCAACCAAGATAATCGATAACATTAAAACCAGTCATATGCGTCTCGTACAACCGACACAATCATCACGCGGTTTATACTCTAGCGTTATAAACCGATCAGCCACACGTCGTGCTTGCATAACAAGAGCAGCACAATAATCACGTTATCGTTAAAGGAGAGATGGCTGTTTACTTAGCATGAGACGAGAAAGGTGGGTCATAAAATTACACCATGTTTTTCCAAAATGTATTTTTTTTTCTGCAAAGATGGCTAACCTTAAAAATCGTTGCAGAACTTCTCACGGAACAGCAGCATCGTTTTTTCGAAACATTGGTCGTTCAAGAAGATATGACAAAAGCAAACTTTCCGGTCGTGCTAATAAACTAGATGCTGACAAAGCACACCATTGCTTCCCCGCACAAAAAGGATTACAACATCAGCAGGCTGATTAGCGGGTGGATGGCGGGGTTATTGATCCGATGTGGAGGGTGAATGGTGCGTCTCTCCAGAAGTCCACTTTGAGTGTGCAACGCCCCTCAAATTTTTACCGCTGGGACCAAGGCGCGGAAGAACATTCAAGTGAGCCTTTTTTTTTTTATTTTGCTGGAGCAGATTTGATGCATTACATGGAATGGATTGACGTGGTACCGGCTACACCTTACTCACATAAACGATGCACGCCTTATATGTTATCGTATTCGCTTTTGTGAAATATTTCCCAAAAGAAAAGGGAAAAGGGGACAAATGGAGGCTTTATTTTGACACGGATATCCTTTTCCGCAAATCAATTTTCCCACAAACCCCAAACTTCGTTCGGTGCCCCTTCTGCCTGTGCCCCGGACTGGTCCAATTGCGTAAGCTCCGATAGTAGCACTTTGTGCCACTCATCATTCTGGGGTTTAAAGATACGAATCAAATCGGCTAATAAGCCCAGATGTGGGGAAAAGAAGAATAGACAGTTTCTGTTTTGCAGAATTTTGCATCCGAGGACATACACACATACACCCATAGCAGACTGATGTATAGCAGATTAATAACGGCCATGTAAGGTTATATGGTGGCTGTGCGTACAGTATGCACACACTCACATACACTTACATCTTGTGGTATTTGATGGGCTGTTCTCGGGCGGGGGGAAGGGGAGTAAGAAGCAGAGCTTGAAACAGAAAATAAGTTGTAGAGGCCGCATATTACACACGGTGTTCGGTGTTTATATTGGCTGCCCAACCCAAAAAAGAATTTTTCGAGAGCGCTTTTATTATATAAGACACCACGGCAGAAGGACCGACTAATCATTTTTTTTTCTCTAACTTGCTTCTTTGAAAAATACCATGTCCACAACTGAGCAACCTCAAGACCTTGAAAAGGTTCAAGTGCCACAACAGGCGCCTCCACCCGCTGTTGCTCGACGCTACGTTATCGCAAATCCCGGACCCTTAGGGCTGAGTTCTTTCGCTCTCACCACTTTTGTCTTGTCTCTTCACAACGGTGGTGCTGGTTTCCCAGCAAGCAGCCCTAGCAATGTTGTTGTTGGTTTGGCGTTCTTCTATGGTGGTCTCGTCCAGGTAACTATAACTACCGCTTTGTTTCACATAGTCACCATGGCTACATACTTTGGTTGTCATGGTTGTGTATCTTTCTCTGCCGTGGCTACATGTTTCATTGCCGGTATCCGAATTTGGGTAGAACTTTTTTTATTATCAGATAAACTGACTTCTACTTTGTCAAATAGCTTCTTGCTGGTATGTGGGAATTCGCAACTGGAAACACTTTTGGTGCCACTGCTTTCTCAAGCTACGGTGGTTTCTGGTTGTCCTATGCTTTGATCTTCATCCCTGGTGCTAATATTGAAGGTGCATATGCTGATTCGGAACCAGATGTATTTAAGCGTTCGATGACTATCTATTTGATCTCGTGGGCCATCGTGACTGCTATGCTGTTGATTGCCTCTCACCGTTCATCAATCGGCATGGTCCTTTTATTCTTCGCCTTGCTCGTCACTTTCATCTTGCTCGCTGCCGCCGAGTACAACAGCAGCATCCCTACTAAGGTTGCAGCTGGTTCCTTTGGCGTTATCACCTCTGTGATCGCTTGGTACAACGCACTTTCTGGGATGCTTACCAAGGAATCTTCCTATTTCTTGCTTCCTATGGGCAAGTTGCCATAAATTCCGTATACACCAAATATAACCTTCCCTGCCTACATATACTCTTTCTCTTACTAATCTCTCTTTCGTTCGTTGTATTCATTTCATATTTTAGTAATTTTTCTCTTCTCTCATATATCATTATTACAAAGAAACCTTAATAAAATTTATAGTCTCAGTTGTACATGCATCACATATGGCTTTTTTATGGAGCGATTGATGGAGCAAAAGTTTTCCCGACAAATATTGCCGCAAAAGGGACAATTCTAAAGTCTAATCGGGTACAAAAACTATCAGCGCGGCTGCTGTATTAGTCTTACTCTTCCTCGCTGCTACCCTCCTCTTCTTCAAAGAACTCCTCGTTGACCCATTCGATGAACTTGGAATCTACTGTTTCAGTGTCTTCAGTAATATCTCCAAACATTTCAGCAGAGCCTCCTCGTCCAAGCCACAAAGTTATGATCTTTGCTGCAGCCTTCTTCTTGTCAGCAACTTGTGCCCATTCCTCAAGTGCCCATGCGCTGTACGCCCATCCAATATACCCGCTTGTTAGCACTTGACGATCCGTGTCCACTGCTTGCTTGAAATAGAACTCGGCGTTTTTTAATAACTGCGCCTTGTTCCGCTGGGCCACCGGAAGATCAAGTCGTGCCCGAGCTATACTCAAGTCGCCAAGCTTGTTTAATATACTCAAGTTCTTGCTTTCGATCTGCAGTGCCGCTTTTAAAGACTTGTCCGCTTGTGCGTAGTTATGCCATACATCTGCAGTTGGCTTCCCGCCTTCTTCTTTTGTTATTAATTCGGCATAAGACCCGAGCACATCTCCTCGATCACACATGGTTTCAACGTGTCGAGGATCGAGCTGTTGAATGACCTCGTCTAGTCGACCGATGGCTTGTTGGAATAGATCATGGTCGACGCGTTTTGATGCCAAAAACGATCGTTCTGCTTGTGCTGAAAAGTTCTGGGCTTCTTTTAGGTTGATTTGGATGCGTGCTTGCTTGTGCTCCTTGTCGTCTTCCGATGTGCCTGCGAGCCACTTCTCGGCAATACCAAGCTTGGAACGCGATTTGCTGAACAAGTCGATGGACGACTGGTATGATGCAAGCATGGCTGCCATGGTTGTCATTGTATCGGACATGGATACTAGTGTCTCAATCAGGGAATAAGCGGTAGTAGGCTCAACTTCGGTCACTGTTGCAAATTCATCAGGTTGCGTCGCTACTTTATCTTGTTTGTCATCATGCTTATGGTCGTCGTGGTATACGTGGTCGTGGTGTGCCTCATTGTGTTCTTCGGTTTGTGCTTCGCCGGCGTTATTTTGATCGTCAAAATCCTTTTCCTGAAGGCTGTAAACAGCCTCGAATAGCGAAATTGCTTCCTGCAACGCTGTCGTTCCCATGTGCGTAACGTCAGATTGGTTAGATGAGAGCTGATTTGTATAATAAGAGCAATTGTATGGCCTGTGCGATCCAACCCCCTCTTAATTACTGATATCGATACATTACCCATAGCCGATTGCATGTACTGATTATCTATCTCGGTCGTGTCTTGCAGGATTTCCGAGCGCAGATGTAAAGCTTGTGCAAGATTATACTGAGCATCTGTCTTGTTACCATCCAGCGTTAATGCACGTCGAAACTTTTCAATCGCCTCGTCCAACGTCTTTAGTTTTTCCTCGGGTACTGTATGAGCAGGATAGAATCCAACCAGGATATACAGCACGCGTCCCCTTTATTGAGTGGTAACTCCAACACATATCAGTAAATCATGGCTTTGCAATTTTACTGTACTTTCTCTCTCTCTCTCTCTTAGTAGAGGACAATTACCAGTTGTAAAGACAGTCCGCGTCTTGATCGTTCAAGGAATGAGCTTTGCCGTACATAGTTGCTGCTCGCTCATAATTGCGCTGCGCACGGTCACCTTCTCGATATCGTTCACCTTGTTCCTCAAACGCGATTCCCTCTATATAAACGGGAGTGCAGCAGCGTAGATTGGACAGAAGTTTTTATTCAATATAAATTGACACGATCTATTTCGCGCACTCATACAGTCTACGATTATGCTCTCCATTCCTTGTTCTCCTTTTACCTGTAAGGAAATCGTCAAATGTTTCAGGATCTTTGGCCTTTTTCTTCGGTTTTTCGTTTTTTGGTTTCGCAGGACCACGTCTGTTTTGGGGTCGGCTCATTGGAATCAACACTTATTGATTTATGTATCGTTGCAGGAAAAGTGTAAAAAAAAGTTGGTGTTACTCGAAATAATCAGCCACGGCAGCCTGTCGGAGGTTCAGAAGCGGCAGGACATGTGCAGTTTCGGTTGTCATAAATCAATTTCCCTCCTTTTTAAACTACTTGCTGATCGTATGCACCATGAAGCTATATATATATGAGCCGACATTCACTCTTTAAGTTAGCTTCTCTACTTGATGATGATTTTGATAATAATACTGGTTATAGCCATATGGCTCTCTCGTCTGGCTCATGCAGGTCTGTTAAGAAAGATTAACAGAATGGGTAGACTCATTGTCTAACCTATTGCTTATTCTCTATATGCATTAGTTGGTTTTACTACTCAATGCTGGGAGAAGTTAAATGGGTAGGCTACATTTGTATAGTTTCTATCTACCACATCCTTATAGTTTTGGCTAACACAGCGATATGTCACTGCTATGTTTATGTCTGCTTTATAAAAGGAAGGCAAACTTGCTCAAGGATGGCTTATGCCAACAAATAAACCAAGATGATGATGGATGGCAAACCTACCAATCCGACGATTGGATTTATTATCCACAGCAGTATGGTACTAATATTAACTTATTGTTGTATATAGTGACCAAAAGACAATATTATACAACAATACTAATGTCCATTATAAAGTCAATGTATCGTTAACGGAGACAAAGCTATCTGTTGCCAGTGGTAAGTAGTGGAAAAAAAGGAGCAGCCTTTGCTAACTGGAAAAAAATGATGGAAGAAAATAATTAGACCTACAACAAAGATTTTCTCATATTGAAATGGCAATAATGTCGTAGTGGGTGGATGCTGTGCTCCTAATCGCTGGAAACCGGCCGGTAGTGTGTTCAAAGATGATGGTGATTCTTATGAAGAAACCGGCGGCAAGATAGTAGGTATTTCCGATGCTCCTCTTGTACAAACAATTGCTGTCAACGGAGCATATATGCACTACATGACGGATGACCATGCCATGGTAAGATGATGGGCTTCTTCTCAAAACTTTTGTAAAAAAGATTATATTTATCGATCTTTTTTATTAACTCGACCCGAACAGAATTTTACTCTATTGCCTTCGGTGGAAATGGCCGACAAGCAATCAATCTTCTATGGTCTTGCAATTGACCGAGCAGTGATCATCACTTATCAGTATCGGGACGCAAATAGGCATCTCTTGGGTAACTATTCGACCGGTGTGCTTCGTAATGATCGTTTGGTTGAAGATGTCACGCTACCACCACACACACGATATATTGTTAGTGACTTGTATCTTTTTCCGCTCAAATCCACCATTATTGCACTACTCACGATAAGAATTTCCGTATGTAGGAAATCGCATTGTACGGATCTCGTGCCAATCCCCTTTGCTTTTCATATATATATGCTGGCCTTTATGTAGACAAGGCTAAAGCTACTGTGACGAAAATTTGTTCAACAAGTAAGCATGAGATATTTCTATGAGGAGTGACGGTACCCTGTGCCATTTTCAGTAATGGATAGGTGACACTAACACAATACGTACAATTGATTGCTAGTGGCGACAATCTTGCAGTATCTAGCTCTTGTCAACTTTATTCTCGTACCGGCATGTTTCGCAGTAATGACTTTTGTACTGTCTTCATTTCAGTTTCCTCCGTAAGTCACATTGTAATGAGCAGCAATGCTGTTCTTTTGAACTAGAAAACGAGGAGATGTCTTTCACCAAGTAAAGAATTATTTTATCCTAACTTGCCACATTAATAAACAAGTCCTGTTCGGTTTCTTTGTCGTCAGCCCTCTCACCCACTCAACTTGTGTATCTTCATTGCTATCGGTAAGTACTGAAGCCTCATCTGACAGGTAAAAAACACATCCCGATTGTCTAATATGGTTTATGATAACGATCATGAACAAGGTTCATTCATATTCAGCCAAGCATGGAATTTGATCAACTCCCAATCAAGTATTTTTGACGAGTGGCTTCCTCGGGCAGCAAAGATTATCGGTAGGATCCAACGCCATGATGTGCTACCGGAAGAATTAAAAGGCAAAATGCTGAGAGCTGACTTTGTCGCTTTGATCATTAGAGCTCTTCCTTTCATTTTTCCTGTACGCTGTATATTTTTATCCGGTTTTTCTTTGTTACTCAGCAACCTATCGATCCCGTACGGCCAACTTGCTCGGGCTCTACACAACGCTAGTGCTATTTGGTCTTCGTGTCGTTATCGACCTACCTTCCTTTGTCATCACTTACGCGCGCGATGTACCCTTTCTCGTACTCAGCATTATTATTGCAGCACCAGCTATTGTCGCCTATACAACAATTGTTGTATTCTTCCTGATTCGCATATTCACGTTTCGTTCATGCACTCTGTGTCGTTTGAAGTTTCTGGAGGTGTCTGATATAGAGGAGCAATATGTCAGAAAACTATTTGGACATAGAGACTTTCAGAGTACTCCTATACGCCGAACATGGTACTTACGAGTTTATAATTGGCTGACTTCGACTAATAAGCAACAACAATTTCCGGATCGTTTGTTGAGTATGGATACCGTACGTTGGTTTTTTGGAACTGATAAATATGTTCGGTAAGTTCCTGACCATTCTTTCATTGTGACTATGACTATAGTAAAGCACATATGTACAATGCAAAGATGTTGAATACATAGTGGTTTTGTTTTACAGGATTCCTTTTGCTGTAAAGGCGTCGCTCACGCTTTTACTTTACTGTTTAGCCCAATTGGTGAGAAAACAGAAATTTGCTGATCTTTTCCTATTCCTTTTGTCTCTGAGCAACATTTTTTTAACTTACAAAGTATTAATTGTATAGATTCCTGTACTCCTTGTTCAGATGGTGGGCGTCGGGGGAGTCGTTCCAGTGCATCTTTGTGCTTGGTCACCTTATCTCACACAACTGCAGTATCATCCCGATCCCATGACATTTGCAGTCAAGTCATTCATGCTGATGCAGATCGCTGTTTTTGTCGCCACACTTGGTGCCGGTGGATGTAAGAATCACAATTATGAATGTACTACCAGTACTTGAAAGATAATAGACTCATGACGCTATCGAAAACCCTCCAGTCTGTATGATTTATGCATTAGGAATTTTACGACGCACGACCAAAGATATTTTACGGCTTCGGCGTGGCAATTATCTCCTATTCAAAGGCAAAAAGGATAACGAGTATACTATCGTCTTTTTCCAATGTCTAAGCAGTGGAATCAAATGACAGCTTCTCACTTCTTTTCTCCTATAGTATTGATCTTGATGATGCTATCCGCTTCCTTGGAGTATGCGTTGGGTTTGGGTTCACAGGCACGCTTTATTTTATGCTTGAAGTATCTTTGATCGGTACCGGGATTGCCATGCTCATCCAGCTTGACCATCTACGGGATGCCATCCTACAACGCGTTGGCTATGGTATCTTCGTGATGAGTTTCTTTATTGCGTTTGTCGTTCAAATAATCCAAAAACGCATAACTAGAATGCTATTTATCAAGAGTGGAACTCGATTCAGTCTTCAGAACCGTGCTCCTCTTCTTCATTATTGGTACTTTATGATGTTTACGTCCATGACGCGTGCCTTGACTTCCTACATTATCCGGACATTGAAATTGGTCTTGCGATATCCACTGTTTAGTTTACGTGTGGATCGAAATGCGGAAACATGGTCAGTGCGTCGTGGTGATGGAGGTAATGTCACTTTTTTTCTCAGTTAAATTATACATTATCAACTGCTATTTTTAGCATTACTTTTCTTCTCTCTTTCTCTCTTATTTTACTCGCTAACTTTGCTGGATTAATACATGATATGATAGGCTTTGTTGGCTATTGCGGCATGGTACGTGATGACAATAATAAAAGAGTCGGATTTTCTTTATAGGCAGTATAGACAAATTTACCAATTTGCCCTTAATCTATGACAACTAACTCAAAAACATGACGAAACATGAAACCAGCTACTAGCCGAGCATGAATACAATAATCCGATCATGCTCGTATTTCTCGAATGCCTTTTACCATGTCTTACACCTCCTGAGAAAGACGTAAAATCATGTCCAGCGCATCAGCGCGATCCAGAAATGTCATCAGGCGCTGTAGCTGCATATACTACTACTAACGATAAATACCCCATCGCTTCACGAGCCAAAACGCGCTGGTTTTTGGCTTACACCTTGATCAATAATCCTATGGTAAGTTTGATTTATTGCACAAAATTATTTGCAGCGTATCGATAAGAGACATGCAAGGCTAAACATAAAACATTATATGATATAAGCTGCGACGATCTCGAAAACGAAAACAGGAAAGCGATAGCCCTAATAACGATAAAAAGAAAAGCCAGCAAATACAAGACCTTTGTGGGAACAATGCTCTTGATTAAAATTGTGAAGTTTTTTTTTCAATAGTGTTACATCATAGTTTTTTATATCCATGTCATTTACTGTAGTTTTACGCATATTTACGTGGTGTTGATATCTTCTCTCATCAATGAAAAAGAATAACGTCTTCTGTTGTTTATTTATTTGAAGAGGCCCACGCGTGTGAATAGTGCTGCTGCAAGCACTGACAGGATCACATTATAATTATTATATACGTAAGTTCCTAGTGACGTACAGTATCGTAAATCTGTAAACATACAGAGATCGACGAAGTACAATAGCTGAGACGCAGCTATGCTTTTGTCCGTTTGAACGAAGTCCATGGTCGATATCGCATTTTTCACGGCGACCATATATGTATGTCAGTTAGTCTTGTTCGCCAACGAACCCATCTTTTGGATTAACGAATTTGGGCACAGAAAGCTGGACGAATTGGAGATCAATGTAGTATGGTATTGGTTGAAAGACTTATTCATGCATGATGACGCCTCTCGACTGTATGGCAGTAAGTTAACCACAAGCAGCTTGGTGGTATAGACTGTTGCAAGACGCTTGCTGGTACCTCCACGACTACTATGTGTGTTTCTTTACGTTTCCTCGCAAAGGAGGCTATTTCGGAACAGCTGTGCTTTCCAATGAAAGAGAAAATGTCTATATGCCCTTCATGTATGAGCAAGCAAAATATTTCGCTTATCCTTATGCATATACGTCTGCCACCCTCGGTCCAACAAATATAAAGCCATCTTCACGCTCAATGCCATATATGCGTGTTGGTATGTGCCCTGTATTAGTCTATCAGAATCATCATTCGAAAAATAAAATTGAGATTGTAAACAAATTGTATGTACTGTATTAGTAGCATTAGTACCACTGGCAATTAAAAACATTAACCATGAAAGGTTATTGTACATCATGTATGGCTGATATCTGACTTGTAACGCCCAAATTGGCGATCATTTGAGCCACACATATTAACCTCGGTAGACGAGATAATTCCACGACCTTGTCTGTACGTTTATTTTGTACATGTATGTTGTGCGTAAACAAATTGGGTGCTATCTTCTCGTTGGATCAGAGAAAAAAATTCTACATGGTCACGATACACACACAAACATTTGGTTTTGTATTAATGCATGGTTGTCGAGTCAGTGTGGAGCTATGTATATAGTGGTCTTGTCGCAGTATACTCTTCATATTACCTGGTCCTGGTAATCGCTTTGTTGTTGTTCTCTTCAGGGATATTTGTCACAAGCATTTACCGCGTAAAAACGCTAAATTCATTAGAGCTATATTGTGATTCCAGGGCTTTGGAAGCAGCATAAAAAAAACTTTAAATAATAAGATAGTTCATTATTGCTATATCTACGGTTTTTTATAATTATTAGGTTATGTGCTTGGTTTAACCTATCAACGGAGAAGATGTTTAAGAATGCATCAGATAGAGCCAGTTATATCGCAGATAGTGCAGCTCTCACGAAACAACGCCCATTTAAAAAAACCACGAACAAAATCTGTTTTATAAATTTGAGATGATATCAGCTATTTTACAATTATGTATAAAAGTTACTGCCATATAATTATTTGAGCTGAATGTTCCATCATTGCCTCGCTAACTCGGTTCTAATAACGATACTACATGACATCAGCACTTAGCAGCATCAACCCAATAGAGACCTAAAGTCCGTAACCAGCACATATAATACACACGTCTACTTTCATACATCTGACTAAGTTTTTAAGTCGACAACTTTTTGCTATGTAGCAGTATGGTACAACACCGAATGAGCCACTTAACGCAGTTCCGGCAGAGGAGAGAAATAGGCGATTTTTCTGGTCCGCCAGACAGCACGCACAAAATTACGAAAAGATTTTGGAGATTTTATAGAGCTCCCTCTCTTTTCTTTGCAACAGCGAATCTCGCGCCCTCCGAAAACCCTTTCAAGTAGCCAAAGTGAAAAGGTGTGAATTATAAAATGGAAAAAACGACAGCGGTCAGCATGTGTACGTTTTGGTGTCTCGACATTCTTTGTCTCGATCAACAGATGATTCGCCCTCCTTCTCCCACTTGGGGAAGGCTGGGGTGAACAACCTTAACGCACTGTGTATGAATCCATTGATAGTCGTTACTATCATCATTAAGCATTGGCTCGTGGATTCTGCAGATCGCTGTTTGTCTTTATAATAATCAGTAATTTTTTTTCTCTCTGAAACTAATCATCACTTTATAGGTTACCCGAACAAAGCGAATCGCAACCGGAATCGACTGGTAAAAAGCCCAAGAGTAAGTTATCAACAAGTAAGAAAACAAAAGAATGGTTGAGAGGAAAGAAGACGTACTATGTATACAAGCTGTAATACTAACACTGAAAACGCGTATATTAGTGGACGACATGAGCAGTGGAACAGAAAGCGACTATGCAAAGTACTGGATTGATTGGTTTTTGGAAACCAAAGGCAACGAGTATTTCTGTGAGGTGGACGAAGACTATATCTTGGACCGATTCAATCTGACTGGCCTGAGCCAAGAAGTGCAACAATATTATGCTGAAGCATTGGATATGATCACTGACAATCTGGGTAAATAATGCTCGACAGATGCCGTTTCGAAACAAACGTACGTTACTCACTGTTATCATGTTATGCTATATAATTAGAAGAGGAATCTCTGAGCGATAAGGCACGAGAACAGATTGAAAAGGCTGCACGACATTTGTACGGTTTAATCCATGCTCGTTTCGTAATCACTACCCGCGGGCTTGCTAAGATGGTACATTATCTCCCCTCATTACACAGACCTGCACCTAAAAAGAAGAGAAAGAACGAAAGGATCGTGTACTATGGAGAGAGGGACTAATAGTCCGTAATCTTTTAAATGCGTAGCTCGACAAGTACAAAAAGGCAGATTTCGGCCGTTGTCCTCGCGTGCTTTGCAACCTGCAACCATTGCTGCCTGTAGGCTTATCGGACGTGCCACTAACAAAGACGGTCAAGCTGTACTGTCCACGATGTGAAGATATTTACAACCCAAAGTCGAGTCGACATGCATCCATTGATGGCGCCTATTTCGGTACCTCGTTCCCACACATGCTTTTCCAAGTCCATCCATCCTACATGCCCACCAAATCGTTTGAGCGCTATGAGCCACGTATTTTCGGATTCAAGATACATGATATCGCAGAGCAGCACCGGTGGCAAGATCGCGCACGGGAAGAGTTCCAAAATAAACTCAAGGATGACGAAGATAAGTCAAAGACGGCCCCACGTCAGCCTCGGTTAGTTGCAACCACTTCCGCAGCATCTCAAAAGGTGGAAGGAGGAAATTGATAAACGGATCTTCTGTTGCTGTTGTTGTTGTTGCTCTTCTTCATTCCCCACCTCCCCCATCACCAAACTCCTTCAACATTTTTCATGTAAGCACGCTCGCGCATACATTTAAAAAATTAAAAACAGCCTTTCGATTTGCCCATGTCTTGGAAAGAGAGAGAGGGCGAGAGAGGAAAGAAACTTTAAGGCTTCATTATCCCTTGTCGATCTTTATCATTTTCATGTTCTGTGTACCTATGAGGAGTGCTTTCTGCTGTAGATCCGAGAAAAAGGCATGTATTCTTGTATATGGGCTTACTATCAGCTCACGGTCGATTGTTTTGTTACTATAGAAAAGAATGAGTCACTTTTTTGGGTGCTTTATTAGACATGAGTGGATTCCACTACCCAACAAAAAATCAATTTATCAGCAGCAGTAAGCAAGAGATCGGCGCATTTTCAATCCAAGAATATCTTGTAACCCCACCTTTATTATCTAAGACAATAACCAGGGAGAGAAGAGCCATGGGCAACTCGAATTCCACAGAAAACAATCCCAAAAACGATTCCGATCGAGCAAGCAATGGATCTGGCAATACCAAGGTAGCCACAGCATCGTCGTCAGTGACCTCTGCTACTAGTGGGTATCAATTCGAAAAACATTCACCAGCACCACCCGTTGTCACCACCGCAGCCTCTTCCTCCTCATCGCATAAACAGCGCCATGCTGTGCCATTTCGACTATCAGTAACGACTGTGCCTGATAATAACAGCGATCATAACAGCAGTGCACCTCCTTCAGCAACAACCCCTAGTGGTGATACCAATATGGAATTGCCACCGTCTTCACCTAACGATCCTTCTGCGTCACCGATAACTGCCACTGCCACTGCCACTGCCACCACCAGTACTCCCACTACTACAACCACCACAGCAACAAAAGCAGTACCGCTATCAACAGGAAAATCGGGCTGGGTATCTAGCACGGGTAACGCCAGCCCATGGTATGGCGGCTCCTTATCTTCGTCGACCTCCTCACACCATCGAAGCGACTCTGTTCGAGGACCATATTATCGCACGCGCGGGATGAGTATCAACCGAGAACAAGAAATAGAGGAAGAGCAGTTTCCGCAACAACAACAGCAGCAGCAACAGCGTCTGAGCCGGAATCGAAGTACTGTCCACCAATCCAAAGGTAATTTATTATTATAATACTTATTAATAATATTGTCATTATTATCAGAAATCGGAAATGGAGAAAGTTAGACATATATAGTCATTTATGCTGATGATGATCTTTTTCAGGTGTGCCAACAATCATAAATTGGTCTCAGGGAGGACAAAGTGTTTATGTTACGGGCACATTTAATGGATGGAAACACAAGATCAAGCTTGTCAAGAGGTAAGATTATAGACACATTTATTAACAATAATGAGAAATTTTGTTACTAATCTGCGTTAAACCGTAGCACACAAGATTTTGCAACCGTATTAGAACTTCCTTCTGGAACCCACCGTCTGAAATTCATTGTTGATGATGAATGGAAATGCTCAAACGAAATGGAAACCGCGACTGATCCAGACGGCAACCTGGTCAACTATCTGCAAGTGATTGATGAAAACGAAGATTCGTTTGATGAATTAGGAGGCAGCAGTGCAAGCACAGCTCGAGGTAATGATATGATAGCGACAGCAGAAGAAATGCACGGAAAGATCTCTTAGATATATATTGTGTGTCGAATAGATATCCAATCACGATCATCTACACCTACGAGCGAATACACGTCTGAAATCCCTCCAGATCTTTTGGCACTCGCTAAATCCCTATCCGCAGAAGAGAATGATAATAGATGCGATCAAGGCAGCACTAGCAATAGTAGTACCATTGCCATGGAATGGGATCAACAACAGCCGCCCTCTTTACCCCCACATCTTGAGAAAGTATTGTTGAACTCTCAAAACCTTAGCGACGAAGACAACTCGGTATTACCAGAACCCAACCATGTTACCCTGAACCACCTATATGCAAGTTCTATCAAAGACAATGTCATGGCACTGTCAACCACCACACGTTATCGTAAAAAGGTAGAAACAAACCATACATCTTTTTGTTTTTGAGAAATGGAGATACAAAGCGTGGTTTATTGTACAAGGATCTGTGTATACTCATTTTTTTTCTTCATATGTATATGTGTAGTATGTTACAACGATGTATTATCGACCGGTAGTCCCGAAGCAATAAAAAAAATGAGAAAAATACAATTTAAACATAATAAACGATTCGAGAAGAAGAGAACGGCAATTGGTGGTGGAGATGGCGATATTATACGATGTGAGATGAAGAGGACATGACATAATGGCGGCTAATGATATTGTTATTATTACAACTCAAAATATTCAATGATATTTTTCATGCGTCCAGACCCCTTTCGTGAATAATCAGTCCATTCTTCGATCGAATCGTCATCCATCCATTGTTGTGTATCTTTGAGTTCTTCTATTCGTCGAGCGATACGTTCATCGACAATGCGACCGGTAAAGCTGCTTCGTCGTGCACACACACCAGGCTTACCGGCAATGAATAGATCTGCACGAATGGCCATGAGCTTATCAATGATTCCGAGGACACCACTGTCATGGTTCGCCAAGTCCTTTGATACCGGTAGCACAGTCCAATTTGCAGGTGATTTAGTCGTATCAGTCATGTCGCTTTCTAGGCTCGTCACCGTCACTTGAAAATTGCTGTACAGGTAATGGATGGCTCGATGGTGATAGATCGTCAATGAGTCTGGCGAAAACGATGCCGATGCCGGAACAAAGCCCGCCTCGCCTTCGGTTTTTTTGAGCGTGTCTGTCGTGTTGTCTTTGACGGCTTGGTCTACAAATGACGGGTCAAAGATGTGCGGATAATCGGTCAAGAGGAAAAATGTCGGTTGAGTTGTGAGGCCAAGTTGTCCAGAACGGTCCTTGATGAGCTCGCCCAATGACTCGGCACAGCCTACAAGAGCTTCGGCAGGTTCAGCGCGCTCGGTTCGCCAATGGACAGCCAGATAAGGTGACAAGCTGGTGGCTAGTTCGTCAGCCATGTTGGTGATACGTTCATTGTATGGGATGGGCTCTTCAGATGCAGGGTGTTGAATGAATGGGAATCTGCAATAGTAGCAACAGTATGCGGTGAGCTTTACTCATTCATCTTCAAAGCTATTCGAATGTGTAATCCATACCTTCGATCATAGTAGACGCTCATAACTTCAGGTGCGTTGTCGCTATCGACCCTATGTTCCTCCTTCTCGGTAAAGAAATCATAAAAGATTTTCTGATACTTTTTGCGACGGCGAACATTGCCACTGTCGTGAAGATAAATGCTCTTGTCGGGCCAACCGGTCGAATCCATGAGAGGCGCGAAACAGTTGTTAGTTTCGCCGATCTGTTTATGGTCTGCGCTTAGATGGACATGGAAGGTTTGGGATGTGCTGGGAAAGCCGACGGCTTTACGTTCCTTGACCCATGCGGAAAACTTGTCCAAGGAGATATGTGAGAAATGCTCTGCATTGTCATGTGCCCACGCCTTGGAATAATAAAATGTAAAGTCGTGCTCGAGACAGGCACCCAGTCGGGAGCCACCGACATTGGGAAGAACAATGGTGCGATTCAACATGCCGGCCATGAATGCAAGTTGTCTGAAATGCATTTGAGCTTTGCTTTCTAATACAATGTATTGTATATGATGCAATAATTTTAGTAACGTGTGCTACCATACGAGAGAAAATATCGATTTACCTTGTTCCATGATAAATACGGGAAGCATGAACCTGCATGGCCCCCCGCAGTATTTCTGGTCAATGTTATCTAATACTTTGGCTATCCGAGGGTCGTTTCTGTCATACGACGCCGGCTGTATTGCTGACTGTTGCTGCTGTTGCTGTTGTTCTGCTGGAGTCGTTAATGGTCGCAATGGTTGGTCATTTGTGGAATGCCATCGGTAGACGAGGGCTGTTACACTGACTAAAACAAGCGACAGTAGGACGAGCCGTAACCGCTGATAGGTGGGCATGTGTGTGTGCGTATAAACGGATGTAGTCGGGAAGAAAGGAGAGAGGGTTCTTTAACGAAACGAAACGGGGTTTAGGAAGAAGAGAAAGGAAGTAAAAAAGAAGCAAGTCTAAAAAACTATAGTTTTCCAAGACGGCTAGCAAATGATCGTGGTGGTGGTGGTGGTGGTGGTGACGATGAATATGATAATGTTACTATTTGAAAGACTGTAACCTCTTTTGGAAAAGTAATCATCTTGGCAAATACGAACACGCTCTGAGAAAGAAAAAGTTCCCGTCCATCGTCCCTCTCTCGCGTTATCATTGACTGCATCGGCAGTTCCGCAAAAAGGTCGTCGTGTCGATCCCAAACAGACGATCACATTCGTCTTGTACGACTCTGCGATCCCATCTCCCGCTCGTCATCCATGATATGAAATTTTCCTTTTGCTTCCGCACACCACTGGGAGAACCAAAAATGACCGCGGTCAATAACACTTACCAGTACAACAAGTAGTCTCGCAGGAGCCGGTATAATTACAACTGCTTGGCAGAACCAGCCTCTTCTTTCCTCCTTCTCCTTGTCAGCTTCTCCTTTCACATCCACGTTTCTCTTCTTGGCTGCCATTGGACATGTGTGAGCATGCTCACAGGTATGCTGTGATTTGTTAGTACACACACCACCCTTCTTACTATAAATAACCTTGTGTTGTTTCTGATGACCATCAACAACAACAACAATAACAAAGCTTCTACTCTGTAACCAACAACTACGCTTTAACTGATATGTTACCAAAAAGCAAAAAGACGATGGTGTTATTGCCACTGTTTGAGCTCTCTGCTAACAGCCGATTGGAATAAGCAGAATCTTCTCTCAGTATATTTGGCTCTTTATTATATTGGCTCATTATTATAAGCTACTCTAATTATTATTTCACAGCTACACTTTATGAAGGGGAGCAACACAGACAGTTCAAAACCCAGCATAGTGGACTTGGGGGAGGAAGGGTTGCCATGGAAGAAAGTTTTCTTGGGGGGAGTGCGGAGGTTTCATAGCGTCATTGAAGATCCTTTTCGTTTGTGTAACAAGTGTGGACAATGCAAGTTTCAGTCAGTTATTCTTAGGCTTCTAGGCCCCCTCTACATCCTTTGCCGACGCAGAACCTTGAATTCGGATGATTGATTATTGTGGGTGATATAAACTTTGGGACACGGAAAGGTGTATGGATGTTCCCTTCTAGATACTTTATCGAACAATGCTACCAAATGAACGAGCTAAGGAAGCATAGGGTAAAAGTGAACACACTCTCGATGGAAAAGATGGCCATTAGTTCCAGCAGACAGCAAAGCACATAGCAACCACCACTTAATAAACACACACCATTGTATGTCATTAGCAGGGATTTACAGTATATTTACATCTAGACGTGTCAAATTGAGCCGCACTGTAACTATCATAATTATTGTATTGTATGGACCTCTCGGCAAGCATCAGAATAAGCTCTTGTGGTTCAGGAGGCAGGCTCTTAATGATCTCGGTTAAAAGACAATCATTTGCAGTATATAGCGATATGGTGCTCCTCTCTCTTTTGTATGACACTCCTCTGTGTGTATTGCGTGTCGGTTATCAATGCATGATCCGAGGTCAATGGATATGTGCAAAAGAGTAAAGGTTTCTTCACTCTACAGAGTAGGAGTGCAAATAGCATCTTGACAAGCTGATTTCTAATCCTCGATTTTTTTCCATGATACAGTATCAAAAGGCAAGTTGATTGATGGTACAGTACTTTTTCTAGTACACTTCGTACTCATGCAGAATTCGATAGTAGTGGCCCTTCGACAAGGACACCTTTTTTCGCACTGATTTGAATCCTGGTGACCACGAGTGGTCCAAGATTCAAATCCAGATTCTTTTCTCTCAAAACATTATTCGATGTTCCTTGAGAAAGAACTGCTGGTGCTTTGGTGTTGTTGTTGGTGGTGATGAGGTATTTTTACCTCAAAAGTCATATGCATAGAATTAGATCGGTTTCACCAATAAGCCAGCCCTGTGGAAAGGGATAAAATAATCACTTGCTTGTTCTGCGCCTAATGTTTGAACCCTGCGTTTTGCAATGATCGTCGGAATCCATCCATGCTCACCAAATGTAACAGCAACAAAAGATAAAGAGTATGAGAGCATATCATAAATGCAAAACTAAAAGAGGCTATCCACAAGCGATGCATGCACGTATTGACAGTTATATATGACATAGCAGTTGGCTTTTTCGACTCGCGCGATGACTTACAATATGTACGAGTGTTTTTTAATTAAACACGAGATTGAAAAGAAACAAGTGCCAGTAAATATGAGTAAGCCCAATAGTCAATAGGAGAAATAACCCATGCAACCTGTCTAATAGCAGTTTTAAACGCAAGAATTGCCTTTGCTGCTTAATGTACTAGCATTACATACGTAGCAGCTGGAAAAAATTCGTTCCTATCTATTTCGACAGGTTGCACCATTTTACTTACTCCTCAGTTTCCTGAGATCATCCAGCCGCGCAGGTTTGAGAGCAAGACTACATATATCGTGCGTTTACAGACTATTATTTAATCGTGAGAAAATGCAATCACGAATATCCTCTAGTAACAAAAGGTTGTATGGCTTGCAGGAATCATGGCACTCGAAACAAAACTCGGGATACTATATCTCGTGCATGCTGCTACAACAGCCTGTGCGGCAAATTGCAGTCATCATGTTCAATTGCTTACTGGATTTGGGCGCAGATACTCAGTGCGATACATACAGTGACTGTAAAGATGTTAAAAGAGAGGAGAAAAAGAAGGTTTTGGGAGACCGTGTGCGGATGCTATCCTTAATCTCAAAGCTACCAGGTGAATGTGCATCATTGCTTAATCGTATTTATTGCCTTGTTGCAGTATCAAATGCAGTGCTGTTTTAGGTGGATCCGGTTGTCTAGGTAAACTGCTGTACATGTGTTTAGCCAAAGCTGGTTCCTGGTCACTCTTCAATGGTGCTCCTATGTAGCATTGGGCTTTACCATATGATGTCTTCGGTAGACCATTTTAGGAAACAGTTAAACAAACACCACTCTGCAATCGACACCAGTATAGAAGCATTGTAGAAAGTGACTACAGGCAGAAACTGGTTAAAATGTACCTCAAAAGTGATGCTCTACTACTTACTTCCAAGCAGTCTACATTATTGATGTTCGTAAATGTAAGAAAGCGCAGCATCATCGAAATTCCGTATTTGAAGAACTCGTGATGTTACGGCGACTAATATATACCTTCTTCTGAATTTGGATAAAGGTCACAATGAGATAACGTTCCTTTCGCGAGACATATGGTGGCAAGCCATTGATGAAGTGAGATTATGTTTTCACCGACGCAACTACTCTATTGGTGGTAGTACCTATGGTGTAAAACCGAACTGCCATACAATTCAAACGAGTCTTACGCATACCATGGCGCTATAAACTTCCTGTTTCGCAATCAGTAGCATGGAAGCAAGGGTAGAGTGGTATCCCGTGATCGCGAATATATGTTTTAGCGGATCGTGTAGACTAGTCTACAGTAATCGGGGCTAGTGAGCGAGTCCAGCGGACTGGCTATATCAGAAAGTAATAGCTAGTTGACACTTCAGCGGACTCGCCAAAAGAACTTGTAGAATAAAAGGATAGCTATTGTCGGACACACTGTTTGTCAAAGTTGACAGACTCTGATAGACTCGCTAAGATTATATGTGAGTCCTCTAGCAATAGCTGGTCCCCGCTTGCAAAAAGTTGGACTCGCCCAAAAAAAAAAATAATTGGGAAAATTTAGCGAGTAAAAGCTGGACTTGCTCTAGATGCAATATTATTGTCATTTTCTTTTTTTTGTGTAAAAATTGGGGAACGAATGGGAAAAGAAACTGATCATTCTTTTAAGAACTTTCAGCTCCCCACTCCTACTCCGAAAAGTAGAAGCACGATGTCAACCCGGCGATAGCTCGAAGGCCCCCGACACAGTTGGAATACCACTGCTGGCTTTATTCACCGCATCCAATTCGTTGAGAAATTTTTTTTTTGGAGCGAATGGCACAATTTATGGGCAACGTCTGCTATTGAAGCGACTTGTGGGTCAATTTTTAAATTTCGCCTGCATCGCTTTAACCCCAATAGAGGCCCTTCCTGTCATAACTATTCGTTGACCTCTACTCAATCCCTCAACATCTTTATCGTCAATCATCACCCAACTTATCAACCTTCATGAATATAAATGTAATCACTCGACTTGTTCCTTGTTTCTTTCTCATCATCTGGTCTCCTTGACCTTCCGATATTCTTCTTGCCTTGACCTAGATTCATCTCTCCTATGTCTTTGGCTTGTCTTGTTTTGTCGTCGCTTCCGGCTCACTTTATGACGCATGCCTGTAACACTAATCTAAGTGCCCGTGTATGATACAGCCTTCGAACATAGCTCTTCCAAGTGCATGTCAGCTGCAAGATTGTGAGAAACAATGAGTCTGTTTGTAAGAGATTCTCTCACTCTGTAACCTTTAACTACCAAGAATAACTTTACCACAATACAAGCCTTTTTTTATTAGTATATGTACAATATCAAAACTGACAATTACGTTAAACACACAATCTGAAACCTGGTTGAAAAACTAGGGCACATCGGTGTGCTTCTATGGGTAAATCTATTATAAGCGTTGGCTATCCAATTTGTCACTGGGGATTCTGCGAGATGATTGTTTTTCATAGGCAAGACGTTTTTACCAGACAGCAGTGAGAGGTCGAACCTACGACCGTTTGAGCATGCTCAGAAAGGCTAGAAATGTATTTTTGAGGTTAGAAACCACCATATATAATTTTTTTTTCAGGACGGTTCATCATATCACTAGAACTAATGCAGCCGATTACGACTGACTACAATATCGTCTTTCAGATACTTGAATACTAGTATGATAGGTTGATACAGAAACGCCATTTTGGCCATCGCGCATGGTGCCGAGTTGCGTCTGCTCCTTAACAGTGAAGCGCATATAGCTCTTGCTCTAGAAACAATGATTTAACAAATGGAACAAAGGACATCAGCGTATGCTGTATACCTACCAGAAAAACAAACTGGGTTTGATTATAGAAAGTAGCGAAATCATGGAACGTATAACTCTATCTTATATCCACGATCTATACTTTAAAGAGCGGACGCATAAGAGTAACGCATCACTCGGGGACTCTACGATAATCGCTTTCAACGAACAGAAGCGCTCCAATGATTTGAAGCAATCAAAAATTGCTCAAAGTTTATCCTTGGGGGAAACTGCAATTGAAACGGCGATGGTACAGAACAGATCACTTCCACTGTCTACAGTCTAGTCAGGGGTGGGCGTAGGATAAATGAGAGGTAGTGGGACGATCTATGAAGATTTAAATACAAGAACAATTGGTGAAGTGAGGAAGGAGATATAGGTAAACTCATGTTGATGATTCAGCAAAACTAACCTTGCGCAAAATAAGCGAATATATTCGTTCCGGATGAAGAGTCGGCAATAATTATACCAATATCTTTTCCTGTAAGTATGATGATACTTTTAAGCAGTTTTTAAATTCTTACGGCTGGATAGATTGACGCACTATATATGATCTCGCATTAAGAAGTTTCATGTAGTAATTTCCCAGATTTCTCATTAGATTAGTTACCAGCTTATGAAGGAATACTTGACATCTTTGAAAGTGATGAACAGCAGCTGCAAAAAGTTAGCAAGACCAAAATGGTGGCATACAAATGTATACCGAATTGTTTGTCCTTTTCCTACATACTTAAATTTTGCGCACAGACACGATGTGATTAAAGCAGTTTTATACTTCGACAATAAAAAGATGAGTACCCTGTAAACGTCAACAGGAAAGTTTTTTCTAGCAGATGATGAACGATGAACGATGGACTGAACATAGCGTGCAGGCAAAATTTGTCATTTCCTACTCTTATCTTGCTCTTACGACATCGAAATATTGGTGAACGGTTTTTAGACAATACTAAATTATACTGTCGAACAGCGGCATAGATATAATGTTCATGCTAAATACATGTTTCTAACAGAAATCGACAAAGTGTACGACTGCGCTACCAGCATTTTTTTCGTAAATAACCTTTGCGAACGCAGCTAAACGCTTCTTTTAAAATGATATAATGGCCCAAAAGTGAAAAGAATGGATGTGTATAAAGTGTTTTTTTATTAGCGACAGTGAACGCCAAAGAAAAAACGCAGTCAATGTTACGAGCAAGTCAAATTTTGGATATCCTGCATGAACTCGAAGCTCATAATTTACGAATACGTATTTCTCAAGGTCACCACCGTAGGTTTCGGCTGATTACTCATTGAATATAGGCACCTGGGGTGCTTTCTGGATTTAGTGAGCTGATTTCAATTGGGTGTTGTTTCTACAAGCCAACACCATCTTAAAGTTACCCAAACAGCGCTCTATCGCATTCATCATGTTGACTAGGATGGTAACGTTTGCGTGATCGGCGGATGAGCATGAAAAGTAGCGCGTGTCAGACAGAGCGGTGAAGAATCACAGCGACTGTAAACATGGATTATACAACACATTTTTGAGCTTTATCTGTGTTTCTTGTGTCCAGATCCACACTACTTGCGAAACGAGCTATCAAAAACTGCTGGCGGCAACGTGGTTAATACGTTACGCACTGGCAGCAAAGGATCCATTTCACGCAAGAAGCATGCGATATGCGACGACATGATACAGCCCTAATCACTATCCACATCATCTGTAGAAAAATTATAGTGGCGAACACGCCTCTAATACTTTAGAGCACTGGCGTTAATAACGAAAGCTTGAGCATTCATAGAACTTTTTTTTTTTGGGTAAAGACTCTCACTATAAACACTATCTAAGAAGTGTAAGCTGCGCTCAGCAGCATATGCATGAGATCAATGCAAAGTTAACACTCGCTGATATCGTCGTATAATACAATCTACCAATAATTGAGTGCTTCGTCAAACTGTTTCCCGATATTGTTAACGTCAATTTAAAAACTTTAAATTTGTTTTAGAAAACTTGCATACTTCCTTCTTTTGCTGATTTTGCTTTAAAATTTGTATATGAGTACTTACCGTCATCGTCACCTCATCGGCAAGAGTTCGTGATCGACTGCTGCAGCTTAAGGCGTCTTTAATCATTTGGCCCGATATCAGTGTGCCTTCACATACTCAATAAGACGGGGCGTTGAAGCGGAAACCACTGCTGTGTATGACGCCATTGCGAAGCTATAAATCTCAAAGACGTCTCAAAGGAAAGAAACGTCTTCCTGATGACGAACGCTTTTCGAGGGATGGTCGATTTGAGCTGGATCGCAAGTATTATTGCCATGCGTTTAAAAACGCTTATTATGGACAGCTACCTACTACATACTAAAATGACAAATCATAGAACCCACGTATAGATCGAAGCACCATACTAGAGATACATACATTTTCGTGGCGGACATCAATAACGGAGCTTAGAGAACTTACAGTATCATATGCAAAACATCAAAACACCGTCGAGAAAATTTCTCCTCAGATTGTTCTGACACTTGCCAGAAGAAAAAACAGCGTTTTATGATATTATATGGTGTTATCCGTTCTCTCTTCATCAGTGTTGGCAATACTCACGTTGACCATTTTTCACGGACAGTGAGAATGTACATATTCACGCGTGAATAATACATGCCAAATCAATTTTCACGCGTGAATAAACTTTCCTATACTTATAAATGGACTCTGGAGCCTTTGCTTTCTCTCTCTCTTGCTCTCCCTTAAGCATTTCCAATTGATGAAGGTTTATTCACGCTGGAATATTCACGTACATTTTTCACTTTTTCACGGCGTGATTATTAGCTCTCCGAATATTCACGGTGAATAATCCAACACTGCTCTTCATATAGTGCCATCGTATATTATCCGCTATCTGATCATATCGTTCTATTGCAGCTATATAACACTGTTCAGCAAAAAACACTTCCCTGAGCATCTTCGTTTCATGAAAGCAAAGATCATTAACCTTGGCCAAGCCTCGTTGCTCAACTGTATATGTACACGGTCACTGTATACAGGACAAACTAGCTTCAGTAATAGTGCATCGTCAAACACCGCATTTTAACTATATATAATATCATATTTATCAGCAACGACACCAAAAGACGTACGAGAAATTGGGGCGCTTTCAATATTTGGTTCATCAAACCACATCACAGGCTTTTGCAGCAACAAGAACAAGAAGCTTAAGAGCTGTGCGCACAGCAATTGGCAAAATACAGCTATATCGAATTGTTTTCTCTGCTCTTATTTATTTTTCGGTAAAGGTGGGGCCAGGCCATTGTCTTTATGCATTTTGTGTGTCGCTTTTATATGATAGGCGCATGAAAAGCAAAATATGATTTTGTCTTCGCTGATCCACTTGTCAACTGATCAATGAGGGAACAAGGTTCTTTTTTCAAACCTTAAGAATTATCAAGCACTTGCTACTATAACGTCGGGACAAAGGTTGGATATACCGTGTAGTGACCATGCAAACACGATTTACTGCTAGGAATATGTGTTTCCTCTCTAAGCTCTATCATGGGAACTGCAGGGCTGAAGTTATCGATGGAGCAACTCACAACCACAATCTTTATGGTTTGTATTGCGAGGTTTCATGTATCTTATCTGCACGAGCATTTTCATATGATTGTTCATTGACACCTGAGAAGAATAAACCAGGTCCGACGATAGTAAGTTCAAATCACGAATAGGTCAAAGTAAATTCAGCAATATGTACTTTGCCTACCTTCTTTTGATGAAGCGAGCAACCTTCTTGAGAAGTCATTGGTCGTATCAGTAAACTCGTGATATCCAGTGTATGGCTCCCGAAGGTAACAGAGTTGCGTTGAACTCTGTACCTGAATTCGGAGTGTGACAAGGAAGTTTATTTCCAAATAAAAACAGGTTCCACTTGCTGCTTTCTCCTCCTTGCCAGGACGTCAACCAACCTACCGGAGTAACTGCAAGGACCCATCTAGCAACACCCATTATCATGAAGAATCGCTCACGAGGGGCGTAAAAAGAAAGGAGCAAAAAGACATGCAGACTGATTAAATCTATTTGGCGTCAAGAGAGCGAACGGAAAGGTTTTGTTGGAAATTCGGAAAACGCACGTAAATTCCGTAATGTTCCGAGGCTGAAAATTGCCAGAGTGCGCTAGACCAAAGTAAACACAAAGCACGAGCGCATGCGAGCGTATGTGGCGCAAAACAGAGCAGGTGCTCCAAGAAGCAAGACAGACAGTTGTTGAGTTATTATTACACGTCGAAATGTTTATTTTGAACAAAAAGGCATAGCACTTTTTTAAAGACTAGGGAACCCTCTCTATGAGAAAAAAAGATAATCTAATGCTTTTTTTTTTGGATGATGTATGTGTGTTTGGATGGGAATTTTTTGAGATAGTTTAAGCTAATAACGTAGGGTTAATCAACTTAGAACTTCTTGCCGAACATAAGTTCCTGGAGAGCGTCGTAACCAGACAAGACACCAGCACCAGCGATGGCACGGAGAATGTTAGCACCGGCACCCTTGAAGAGGGACTTGTAACCTTCCTTGGCGACGATTTCACGGAAAGCGTGGAGCGAGGAGTCGTACTTGACAGCAGCACCGGAGGTCATCATCATACGACGACGGACAGTGTCAATGGGGTACGAAGCCAAACCGGCACCAGTGGTGACAGCCCAGCCAAGCAAGAACGAAGCCAAGAAGTTCTTCTGGAGGTTCTCGGGGAGAGCAGGCTTGAGCGAATCGTACATACCGAAGTACAAACCACGGTAGACAATGATACCAACACAGGAGATGGTGAAACCACGGTACAAACCGCCGATACCGTCAGAGGCCAAGGTCTTGCGGTAGACATCGACCAAACCGTTGAACTGGCGCTCACCGCCACCCTTGGAGGCCTTGGCATCGTTGGCCAAACGGGTACGGGCATAGTCGAGCGAGTAGACGACTGTTGTTGTATAATAATAAAAGTTGTTATGATTAGCCACACATCATCATCAACATCCCGAAAAATTTACACAATCCACCCCGCTGACCGTGAGCACCCCTGAATCTTTGTTGTTGTTGTTGTTATTGATAAAACTTACAGAAGAGCGACGAGGCACCAGCAGCACCACCGGAAGCCAAGTTACCGGCGAACCAGGCCCAGTAACCATCCTTCTTCTTATCCTTGTTGAACATACGCTTGAACTTGTCCTTGAAGGCAAAGTTCAAAGCCTGGGTAGGGAAGTAACGGATGATGTTGGCAGTGTTACCACGCCAGAAAGAGACGAAACCTTCATCCTTCATGGTACGGGAGAAGCAGTCGCCGATGCCCTTGTAGGGCGAGGCAAGACGACCCTGCTTGATCATCTCATCCTGGTTCTGGATCAAGAGCTTGATACGCTGTTGTGATGTGAGAAGTACGGGTGGTTAGTCATTTGCGACGGGGGGGGGGTTTCGATAAACAACTGCCACGGCAGAAGCAGCGTTCGAATGATATACAAACCTCAATGGGAGCAGCAGCAGTCTTGGAGACAGCGGCGGAGACACCACCCATGAGGAAATCCTATGTATGAGATAAAAGGAGATTCGTCGTCAATACAAGAAGTTCTCTCAGCAACCCCACAAACAGTAAAGTCAATTTGGGTAGCCAGGGTTCAAAAGAAAGTTTGTAACCAAGGCTACTCATCATGGATGTGTGTATTGACTCTTCAGGGATATGTCGACACACTATGGCAAGGGAAGAAATCTAGCGAGAATAGGCTTATGGTTACTTACGACGACGAACTGGTTCTGGGACTTTTCGGCCATTTTTTAGACGTGTAAGAGAGGGGTTGAAAGGAAAGGAAGAAACTGTCCTTCGCTACGGACGACCCCTTCTTTATATTGATCGGTGGGCGAAAAAAAAAAAAACACACTCAAAAAAAATTTTCACCCACCGATCCCGTTTGCTTTCGTTTACTGCCATTGGACAGCGTTGCCAGGGGTCGGTGCTGGTGTGGAGTTCCCCCTGGCAAGATGTCACTCTGTGACGCTTTTGTTGCGGGGGGGGGGGAAGAAGGAGCATAGGCTGTAAAAATCATGCTCGCTTATACTTCTCTTTCTCTTTTCTCTACGTACTGACTTGCCATCTCGACTAGCTACGTTCACGAGTGCACAGCCTTCTCTTCTTCTTGAAAATGAATTGTGCGGTGTCAGCTATCAATGAGCAACCATTCAGGGCTTTTACATTAAAAGGTACCGAGAGTGTCCCTCGAGCTCTTTTTTAATGTATGTCTGTGCGTGCAGCCATATACCCGCATTTTCGGGTCAACCATGGAAAGACGTGCTTTTAAAAAGACAATCCATGTCTTTAATATCGCTCTTTATGATTATTATTCTTCTTGTTCTTATTTTGTCAAAAGAGAGAAGCAATCTGAAGGTCGAGGAGTGAGGAGGAGTATATAATAAGGTTGTTTTGTACAAGTATAGGTCATCAGTTGATGACTGAGTGCTCTTTAGTTTTGTGTAAGCATGTCCAGATCAATGTCATAGGAGATATTGCATCCACAGCTGTTTTTTGCGTTCGGGTTATCGATGACCTGGAACGTTGATCCAATCAGTTCTTCTACAAAATCAACCGTAGATCCTCGAACAAACTGCAACGAAATGGAATCCACCACGACTTTGACGCCTTCGCTCTCAAAAACGCTATATTTTTCGAATAACCATTAGTTTCGTAATACACTTTTCCATATTCTCCACCAAAACGACAAGGATGATAAGCTTACGTGTCATCTTCCTCGACAGTATCCGTCAACTCCAATTTGTTTTGGTATCCGTGGCAGCCGCCAGAATCAACCAATATCCGTAGCATCAAACTGTCATCATTGTCACGTTCCGCAATATATTTCAGTTGCTATATTTTCGATTGGGGCGTTGTGTTTGAGTATAATTTATTCAAATTCGTCTTTCACTGGGAAAAAGAGGAAGGGGTCAGCCCCCTTTGTCTCTTTCTGCTTCTCACCTTGATGGCCTTATCTGAAATGGTCAATCCATTCTCCATCGTGGCTGCCTTGTATTGCACACCATCGGTTGCTGCGTCTCGAAGTATTGCTGAATGGCTGAATGCTCTATATTTATGCGTCGCCAAGAATGGACGCAAGGAGTAAAGTGATCGTTCATGGTGTTGGCAAAGTTGTCGTAGACTAGACGATCGTGCACGAAACTGCTGTGTAGTGATAGTGTTGCGGACGCAACTGGAACGTGCAAAAGTATTTATTAAAATCCTAGATCGTTGCATTACTAAGCTTGTGTGTGGGTTTTATTAAAAAAATAGAAAGAGAGGCAAAGGAAAGGACGGGCTCGCGCTAATTCTCCAAATCGGAGACGCTTAAACCATATTGCGCTGTCTTTGAACGAAATGCGGCAACTTGGTAACTTTTAAGCGCACAGCACAATTCGCTCTCCCCCACATAGATAACATATTTCATGCTTCGCACTACAACAACCTCGATCGCTGCTATTGCTAATACCGCACGACGAAGAATTCAGATTTCAAGACCCAACTTGAGTTCCATTCGCTTCATTGGCTCGGATGAATCCACTCGGCCGTTTCCTTCCCCCTATCCTACGCGACCCACGCAAATTGCCAAGCCGGAAACCGACGGCCAAGAGCAACAACAACAACAACAACAGCAGCAGCAGCAGCAGCAAGAAGAAGAAACACAACGACAACAAATAAAAAAACTCCCAGTCCCAATGTCAACCTCAGAACAAGCAGCCCATACCGATCATAGTGCCACCACTACGGCTAGCAAAGACGATTCTAATCAGTACAGTAACCTTATGAACAACAGCAATGATACCATTTTCGAAAACCATTCCCTTATCCATGACCCTAATGACTTTATCGGCTCGACACCGTTTCAGCCACAACACCACTTTGATACCTACAAACTATTACTCGCATTAGAACGACAAGGCTTTAGTCGCACACAAGCAGAGGTTGTTATGAAAGGCATCAAGTTCAAACTGCGCGAAAGGTATGCAACATATGTGTGTGCGTGTGTAATTTATAGTGGCATTAATACTTTCCTTCAACACATTTCCCAAAGCTCGGCATTCATACGGAGGCGTCTGCTATTCAGATCAGATCTGGACAATGTAAGTGGGAGATGAAAGGAGAGAAAGAGGGTCAACCACTTGTCATTACAACGTTAACATGTATCGCACCTATACACAACCAACAAATGCTAACAAACAAACAATTCAACGAATTTAGGAGACGTATCTGTTTAAGGCAGGATTATCAGAACTACGAACAGAAGTGCAGACTATGCGGCGAAGTGATACACAGATGCTACAAGCGGACATGGCTACAGTGACACGCGAAGTGGAAGCTCTGGGTCAACGGTTACGGGAAGATGTTGCTCTGATGCGGAACGAAGTGACACTGGATTTGAACAACCGAAAGAACGAAGGTCGGGAGGAACTGAAGGCCATTGATATGCGGATTCAGGAAATTAATAACAAGATCACCGTGTCGCTGGGTGAAGTACGGACAGGCATTGAAGCGGTTCGATGGGAGACGATCTGGAAAGGAATGAGTATGTAACCAAATGGACTTGCCCCCTCTTCTCTTCTCTCCTTTATATTGTATATATATATATATACACATATATACTTTGGAATGATATCAAAACAACCACTTACTAACCGATACCGTTTTTATATATAGCGGGCGTTGCCGTAGCAGCCATGGGGATCGCTGGTGTAGGATATCTGCTGACGCGCTATGCGGCGCGTAAAGCAGAAGCAATCCGTGTACAAAAACAACGGCAGCTCAAACAGTTGCAGGAAGATGCTCGGATTGCCGGGGCGGCGGATATGGAAGTTGTCTATTAAAGGCATGGAATAATAGTAATAAGACTTTGTACATGTAATGGATGCAATAGATGCAATGCTTAAAATGCGTGGATGGCTGCGGTATGTTGTGGCAAACACACACACTGAGAAGGAAAGAGATAGCATGCCCTTTTTTGAGCTGTGCTTTTTAAGGGGAAAAGGAGTTAACAAAGAGAAGATCCTGCTAACCAGAGGGTCATGTGCTACCTTCCTTTGTTGCGCGCGTGTGTGTGTGTGGTGTGGTGTGTACGTGCATGCACAATGCGCTCCCTGATGGAAACAGCGAAGGCAGAGAAGAGAGGGTTCGGTCAATTCCAGTCCAAACAACCGCCATACTTCTTTTTCTCTCTCGCTTTCTTCATTTCTTCTTCTTCTCTTCTCTCTTCTCCTCTCTTTGCCCTTTTTCCATCTTACGCAGATTCCCTTGTCACACCCGCATCCCCTCCGTCCGCTGCTCTACCTCTCTTCTCTTTACAGACACCCTCAGTATCCCCTCCCCTGTTGTCGTCTGCGGTGAATGCACAAGACACTGGGTCATCGTCACTCTTTTCCGCCACCATCCCGTCCATTCAGCATTCAGCAGGACAGTCTGATAGCATCTCCTCCATCGCCCGTTCCTGCAGATGATAGTAGCGTAGGCGACGGTGATGGTGGAGATGATGGTAATAGTATCACTGCTGCTGCTGTTGCTGCCGCTGCTTTTCTTGATGACGATGTCGATGCTGGCGATGCTCCCACTGATGCCGCGGTTGCTACAACACCAGCTGTCGATCCCCGTTGCACCAGCACAACCACAACTCCGCCTTTACGACTTTCTGAAATCGAACGAATGCCAGCATCCCACAATCCTCGAACGCTCCCCGCCACTGCAGTTGCTACTGACCATGTTACTACTACTACTACTACTGCTGCTGCTGCTGCTGCTGCCAGTCCTACTGACCAGCGGCAACAACAACAACAACAAGAGCAACGCATAGAGCCATTTGTCAGTCCTTTGACAGAGACCAATTTAAAATATCATACCGAATCGGTAATTACTTATATATTGCATACGCTATGATATACAACCGAACTCTTAAAGATGTGTTTTACGCGTGTATATGCTACTAGTTCCCTGCGAATCAAGAAGCACGGCAATTTTACATTGAATCATACGTCGAAACTCAGGCCAACGTAGTACAGCTTGAAAACAAACTACAGCGTAGACGTCGAGCAGAAATCCGATCGCTGGTGCCACTTGACACATTATCTACATACGACGAATTGATAGCTCAACACTCCGTGATTCAGCCACACCAGCAACAACAAACAACGGTGACAGAAACCACTGCTGCTGCTGATAGCAGCAATGACAACAATACCCATCATAAACAGCAAAAAAAGAAACGGCGGAAATGGTTTAATTGGTTGACGCCGGTACGTTTCAAACGCAAACAGGAGGACCAGGAATACCAACAGCAGCAGGGACCTGCAGCAACAGCATCGATTAACCCCGCAACAGCGCCAACAACAACACTCGTCGATACAACTATTGCTGATGATGAAAAGAATACGTATTATGAAGGCCGACAACGACACCGCCCTTCTTCATCAACAACAACAGCAACAGCAACTTCAGCTCGACAATTACAACGCAACTCATGGGCAGCACCAGAAACCAAATATCAACACTATCAGAATGAAAAATCGGAACTTTTGCACGATGGATTATGTGTGTTGAACAATGTCAACATTCTCCGTGCCTTGGGCGGTGACCGGATCATTGCTGCTGCTTCTGCTTCTGCAGGTACGGGAGGAGGAACAGGGACAGGAGGAAGGCCCAACACAACATCCATGATTCTATTACCGTCTCAGCAACGACGCCACCTTCATCATCAAGGAGTAAAACGGGATTCAAGCGTATCATTTCCAGCTCGACAACATCAACAATCGAACAAAACGAATCGACGTCGGTTTTCTGCCCGGCTGAGGTCAGTTCGGGAAGATGTACAGGAACAGGAACAACAGCAGAAACAACAACTAAGACGGTGGAATACCAGTAATGACGGTATTTCATCAACGACAGCAACAACATTGATTGGTTTCCGGTATCCTCGAATGGTACATCGACATACATTACGTGATGCAGCGATCCAAGTGCTGTCCTCAGAGCTGTCTTTATGGGAAAACGAGGATCAATTGAATAACAACGGTGAGGATGATGATGGGGACTATGATGATTACGACGAAGACGAGGACAATATTGATTATCAGCAGCATCATCATCATTGCCATGAAAGAGGAGGTTTAGCGAGGAGAAACTCATTGAATAACGAGACAAGTAGTAGTCGGAACAGTATGTCCCATACTCATCGATACTATCAATCAAGAAACAGACGGTTCTCGGATCCGCGAATGGTGTTTGTGTCTTGATCTAATCCATTCTTCTGTTGTCTTTTATGTTACACCTTTCTCTCTCTCTCTCTTCAATTGTATTATTTGATAAGTTCGTCATTTCTTTCCTTTTCTCGCGATCTTCTTTACCACATAATAGCCCTAATAATAATTATAGTAATGATAATATAAATAATTAGCAATGAACATCGTCATACCCTGTGTATATAGCTTAGCGACTGTAAAAGCTTCATGCTACCTAAACTGCATCGATTCTGGAGGAAGATCCTAGGTTCTCCTTCTGCTGTTAGTGGTATTGTTCTTCTTATAAACAAAACTGTGCATATTATCTCAACACGACGTAATATCACTGCTGCTGCTGATGATGATGATGATGATGCCAGTGATAAGGAGGTGTATTGGCGTCATTGATATATGAATGACAAGATGAAAAAATATATAACGAAGAAGCTACGCATTTTTAATTCTGAATGATACATCGTGGTATGTTCCATACAGTACATAGCCTGCATTATTTGTTAATGGAGTGGTGTAGTAGTATTATCAGGCTGTCATCTTCTTTCCCACACGGTTTGTGCATGTGTGTCTTTCACATTCTGTCAGATACAAAAAGAACACTGTACTACCATCAGTTATGTAACACACAGAGAAAGTTCTATCAAGTAGTTACTAGGAATCATAACTATTGGACGGCAACAACAGCAACAGTAATACATTAGACTCTTCAGTATAAGCTGTAGTATACTTACCATATGGTACAGGTACAAGTTACTGATAACTAGAAAATAATAACCATAGTATATCGATGCTAGAGAATATGCATCTACTGCAACACCGTCCGTTCAGACATCGTCCTGATTCTTGCTGCTGCTGCTGCTCCTGCTGACCAGGAACATACTACGAAACATGAGAAGCGTCGTACATTTTTGATTGGAAGAATAACGGTCGGACCAACAACGGCGAACTACTTGATTTGGCATTTAGAAAAGTGCAGCAAAAGAAGAAAGAGAGAGAGAGAGAGAGTGAACGAGAGAGAGTTGCACATGCTGATGGGGCAGCAACTTATTTTAGAACACATCCTTCTTCTTCTTCTTCTTAGTATTACGTCCGGGGCTTTTAATTTTTCTTACTCCATAATACATACATCAGCCCTCTGTTTTCATTGGTACCTTCTTCCTGGAAAAGCGGACGTCGATCATCGAATTTTTGGTTTTCATATTGCCTTGTATCACCACCGCAAACATTGAAAGTTCTCTCGTTCTGGTATATTTCCCTCTCGCTCTTTCTCATCAACTCTGTGGGTGCGTGTGTGTGTTTGCCGCCGCCCTCTTTGCTCCTTTCTCTCTCTCTCTCTCTCTCTCTCTCTCTTTAATTTTTGCATCCAGCCTCTCCCTTGCCTTCAAGCACCTTATACCAACGACATACACCTAAAAAAACACCACACACATCAATACGCTACATGTCCGCCTATTATACACGCCGGACGTTCACAAAGAGGGAGCAGCTCTTGCCAACCACCAATGCGAATGGCAAGTTAAAACGTAATGTAAATTTCTAATTGTGATCTTACTATAATGTAGAAAGGTGAAGAATGAAATCCAATCGATCCGAAATTTAATAAATACCATGTAGCCGAACCCATGATGTTTGGCATGACACGAAAACAATTATCATTAATCGTCCTGGTGGTCCAAAACAGCACACTTGTCCTCATGATGCGCTACTCTCGCATTGTACAAAAACCAGGCCAACCAATGTACATTGCATCAACCGCGGTCTTTTTGGCCGAAGTATTAAAAATCATTGCCTGTCTGGCCGTAATGTACCATCAACAACGATACTGGTCGAAATTCGTGTTGGTCGTTCGACAAGAGATTCTCGGCAAGCCCAAGGAGACGGCAAAAATGCTAATTCCATCGAGTCTGTATGCGTTACAAAATAACCTGCTTTATGTCGCCCTGAGCAATCTCGAAGCGGCCACGTTCCAGGTCACGTACCAAATGAAGATCATGTCGACCGCCATCTTTTCTGTTGTCTTATTGGGAAGGTCGTTGACACGGGCAAAGTGGTTTGCGCTTGTGCTGTTGATGATTGGTGTTACCCTGGTGCAGTCGCAGAGCATGGCTTCAGCACCACCACCGTCGGGAGAGAGTGGCAGTATTGAGGATGGTTCTGGTGTAACGCAAAACCCATTGATTGGATTGATCGCTGTCATTACGAGCTGTATTTCGTCAGGGTTCGCTGGGTGTTATTTCGAAAAGATCCTCAAGACGTCCGATACCAGTATGTGGGTGCGCAACATCCAGTTGGGCTTGTCGGGAGCGGTCTTTTCGCTCGTCGGTATGCTCATGTACGATATGCAACCACTGCGACAGGGTGGTATGCTTCAAGGCTACGACTGGTTGACGTGGGTGGTTATCGCCAACCAGGCATTGGGTGGACTCTTGGTGGCTATAGTGGTCAAGTACGCTGACGTGATTCTCAAGTCGTTCGCAACGAGTATATCTTTGATCCTGTCCAGTGCCATCAGCTTTTACTTTTTTGACTTTAGACTTTCGCTCCAGTTTGTCGTGGGTGCCTGCATCGTCATCTTTGCAACGTATAATTACAGCTTACCTGACAAGGTATCCACTACTAGTACCGCTACTGCTACCACTAAACAGCATTCATAAATTGACAACAACAACAACAACGACGACGACGAACACACACCCTTATCACACACATACGCATGCCAAAAAAAGCATATATATTATTTCTTTCCTTTTGCTTCATTCTTTATATTTTTACTTACACTTTTAACTTAATTTAGACGGGGGGAAATAGGTGATGCCACATTTGTTTTGATAAAAAAAATTGTATATAAATCTTCTTTTTCTTTTAGTAGATGATAACGTAATCAAGAAAAACAATGACGGTGTGTTCAAGAGAGGTGTACATTTGAGAGAGAGAGGATGTGTGTGTGAATATGGAAATGATGTGTGTTATGGTGTGGAGAATTAAGGCGAAAAGAAGAGAGAAAGGAAGGATTTACAACAAAGTATACAGAGACAAAAAGAAAAAGGTTGAAGTCAATTCACCAGTGGCTTGCCAACTGCGTCTCACCAAGCACTCGATGACGAAGCGGAAGGGGCACCGAGAGCCACTTTCCTAGCCATGCCATTGCGACCTTTGGATCCTCCTCATTATCATCCCGCTTTCGTTTCCTGGACGGCTTGCGTCGCGGTTGCTGAGATGCTCCTGCTGCTGATGGTCGACGATGACGCGCTGGCTGTTGATGAAACCGTTCCAAAAGTGCGCGTGTCTGCTTGCCCGTCATATCCAGCAGCGAATCAATTTTCTGTGCAGTCTTGAGAAATTCGTACGCCAACACGCGCTTCTTTGTGGCGACGTAGAGGTATCGACCATCATTGGACCACTGGATACCATTGATCTTGGCCAAAATACGCAGCCGTCGATCACGCTCCCCGCGGAACGAAACCATGGTAATTTCCTGATGCGCATGCAAATCTGTTGTATGATTTGCTGGATGATCCTGCACTTGCTCGCCTTGAGTAGCCGTAGTCGTAGTCGTAGTCGTAGTAGCAGCAGCAGCAGCAACGGTAAACAAACAATGGTCTGTACAAACATGGCCGCGTGATTCAGACGTCTGGTGATCAAACTCAAGAAGATTCAATACTTTTTTTGGTCTTGATACACTCGACGCTTCTTCGAGGTTGACAGTGTGAAAGTATCCGTAACGATTCGTGAATGCCAACACGCCCTCTAGGCGCGGATGGAAAGCAATAGCGTACGTGTATCCTGCTGCGTCAATCGAGTAGAGCACTTGCTTTGTGTCGGCCCGCCAAACAAAGACATTGCAGTGCGTATCGGATGTATGTGCAAAGTGTTGCGACGACTGGCTCCAAGCAACGTACTGTGAAGAATACTGCATGTCTGACGCTGACGCCCCGCTGCATCTGAGCAAATGGCATGGCACATGGAGTTTTTCCGGAACACCAAATGAAACCGCGCCCGTCAAAGGATCTCGCGTCGTGTTGAGCATAAAGATATACGCATCGTCTCCTACGCACACCATCCGTTTTCCGTCGTGGCTCACTTTGGCATCATTGACAGCAACGCGATCAAAGCATCGTAAATGGGTATATAGTTGCACCACAACGTGATGCGCTTGTTGGTGAAAGTCCGGCATTGCCTGGCATTCGCGGTGTGAAGGTAGTTTGTAGACAAGGACTCCAGCCTCGTTCATACACGCAATGAGCATATACTCATACTCGACTTGTTCTTCTTCTTCTTCCACATTATCATCACCTTCATCCTGCTTCATGCCAGACGATGATGGCTTCTTCCAACGAACAATTTGCACGGCGTTGGTCATGAGTTGGACATTGTTGCGACTTTTAAACTTGGTGCCCCAGATTTTTCGGGGTTGCTGACGGTCCATGCAACAGTACAGCTCGAACTCGCCTTCAAGCCCACCGATAGCCATGTAGCCGAACTTTTGTGCCAGACACAGGGGCTCAAAATCCAAGGCAAGGTATGAATCTTGAGCATACACCGGTGGAAAATCTGCTCGATGGATGTATTTTGTGAAAGGCCGAAACCTGGATATGCCGGACGTCGATGTCGATGTTGATGATGATGCTGCTGCTGCTGCGCTAGTGATGCTAGTATCCATCGTGTTGGGCAGCGTCGAGCGCCTCAAAGACACGGATAGATGAGTCTCACAAAACTTGCTGCTGTTGCTACTACTGCTATTATTATTCGTACTCGTGTTGAGGGTGTTGTCGTCACCGTCGATCCTGGTTTCGACGGGCGGAGATGATGATGATGATGATGATGAAAATGGCGAATATGCGTTTTGTTGTTGTTGTCGTGATGGTAGTTGTTGCTGAGCGAAACAAGAAGCAGAAGAGGAAGGAAAGAACGAAGAAGAAGAAGAAGATGATGATGATGCAGCAGCTAGTAATGATGAATATGACTGTTGTAGGACGGAGGAAGAGGATGAATGAGGAACATGATCACTATCGATCCACGTAAGCGTATCATGCGTTGTAGTAGTAGTAGTATGAATGCGTTCATGATTTTTTGTCGATCTCGCAGTGGCAGAATTTGCGGCGTCAGCAGGCAACGGAAACTGCCCGGAACGTGCTCCACCGATGGTGGTACCAGCACCACTAGTGGCACGACGAAGCCCACGACCGCATTCAAAAATTCGATTGCGATACACAGCATATAATTGCTCTGCCATGCCATAATTGCTTTGTACCAAACAGAGCGCACTGGCTGCTTGATCATGGTTCGTCGTTGAGCAAGACGATGGCAATTGTTTGGGCCATCCTTTTTCTTTCTTCCAGAAACTTTGCGGAGATGACGACGACGACGACCGTAAATAGAACAGCTGTTTAAGCTCGTTTTGTCGAATTTTGATGAAATAAGTCAGCCTCATGTCGTTGGATTCCCATGTGTAATCATTGGTGCTGTACGGATCTTCATCCCACATGTCGAACCCGGCAGTTTGTGTCGTTGTCGTTGAATGTGTTGCTGTTGTCATGGTGCCTGTAATTTGTTGTTGTTGATAGTTTGAATTGAAATCCGAATCCGACAATTCAGAAGCATCACTGTCTGGATCATCCTGACACCGGTAGTTGGGATTCCGAGGACCCAGGTACTCGTAATCCAAAGAATATTCGGAATCGTCGCTATCATCAGCATCGTCATATACACCGTCGTCGACTGCCATTAGCGTGTCTATGGCTTCCTGCTGTTGTTGCTGTTGTTGCACGTTATCATTATCGTGTCGTTCGTCATATTGCATACAATTGCTTCTATTGGCGGTAATGGTGGTGGTAGTGTTCCGGGCGGCAAGACTGGATTTGTCAATATCACTGTCATGGAGTAGATTTAAGGTCGTGTCATCTTCATCGCAGAGTAGATCTTCACAGTCAGCCTCATAGTACGCCATACGGGGCTGGTGGAAGGGAAAGGGGGAGAGAGAGGAATAGAGAGATAGAAAACTAATGAAAGAAATAGAAGGAATAAGTCAAGGAAAAAAAAGAAGAGAGTAAAGAAAGAAAAGAGAAGGAGTGTGAAAAAAAAACAGAGAAGCAAAGAACAAAAAGGACTAGTAAGTGAGGTAGGTACTAAGTGCAGAGTGGGCCCAAAGCAATAAGAAGAAGAAAAAATATTCTAAGAAGTAATAGTAATAAAAGTTGGATTCTTTCCCTGACAAGCGAGAACAAACGTGGCGTAGACCATTTTCTTTTTTGTTATTACTCCTACATGGACTGTACATGCTACAGGACAGGACAGGACAAGGTCAGGGCAGTTCCCTTTTTGTTGACACGCACCCGAGAATGTAGCATGAGCGTGTGTGTGTGTGTGGTTTACATGGGAAGATACTTCCTTCTTCTTCCTCTTTTTCTATACTGTCTATCACTCAATCGCTCCGGGTCTCTTCTTCCCCCTCCCTTGCTTGCTCCCTGAAACATACACCATTCTATACATCAAAGAATGAAAAAAATCGCGCTCATAAGTGGATGAGGTGGAACTAATAGCATGGCGCACATTATAGCACTACAGTACACTCCGCGTTTTGTTTATGCGTTTTGTAGCTCCTCACATGATGCCCAAAAAAGAAACAACCGACAGACCCAAGAGTGGTGCGACATTAAAGCTATTGAATGGCTCTTGTGGAACTGGGGTTGCATCCTGAGCTAATGCTGTACCACAACCGGTTCTTCCCAACTGGATTCTTCCCTCATTTGATCCGGGCCGAATAAACTTGCCAACATCTTCTCCTGAAATGTTCTTCTGTCCAGCTACCTGGATTATTAATCTCATTCCAACGGCGATAGTTGCTGCTCATTATGTATGTAGCACATTTTCGTATCTCTTGAGGAAAGGAAAAGGTGGACGCTGGAAAGAGGGGCTTAGGATGTGCTACTTCTTTTTACAACACTTGCCTTCCTTACTGCGTACTCCACATTCCACCCACCCGAGTTCGGAACTGTATTCGTTAACCTCTCTCACCGCGGCTTTGCCTTTTTCGATTAAAAGAATATAAAACAACTTAAGGGTGCGACTCGGATAATATGAAAACCCTTCAGTAGATTGTTCATCTAATTTCCTTTTCGAGATGCTAAGCTCGTGAACCTTCTCTGTTTCTTGTATTACGTACGTAATATCATTCGATTCTATCTGAGCCAGTCGCGTTTCCATCTGTGCAAGACCCGAGCGCTCGGTCACCATGCCAATAAATTTGGTTCCCTTTGCCGACAAATTAGATCGTCGCTGCCGTGGAGATCGCTACTAGTTGCTATGGATACTCAACAATCTTAAATACGTAGCTATTTTTGGCACTGAGAACAGATCAGTAATATAGCCAAGAGTAGTGATAGTACTTCTGCCCCCAAATGTACGGGCTTTTCTCTCGTCTTTTTATTCATTTTCAAGAATTGTGGTTTATATATACAAACAACTAAAGCTATATCCTCGATCAAATTCCGTATCCTGCCGCGGCTCCGAGACAATGGAACTGGGAACTGAGTTCTTGTTCTTTGTTTTTTGAATGCGTCTTTTTTTTAGCGCGATATCCAAAATGTACATATAATAGTAGGTATAGCAAATGATTATGATGATGATGCTGTTTTGTTCTTTCCTTTTTTTTAACGGGTTGCTTCCAATTTTTCAAAATGCTTTTTAGCAGCTGCAATGTTCAACAAAGTTGCTGCGGATTCTGAAATGATGTAATAATAGTAAGCTTGTCGTTCTATGCATTCTGTATATGCGTAAAACAGTATAACTTACGTATGTTTGGATCAGACATGACCACCATGGCATAAGTGTTGTTTGTCAGAACATCGATGAATGCAGTAAAGGAGCTTCCGCGTATTTCCATGCTCTTGAATCGTGTCTGTGACCGACTGTGATAAACAGAAAATTGATTAAAACAAGATATAAGCAGGTTATATTATTTTCGGTGGGGGCTAACTGCAAAATTTTACCTGCATCCCAAGTTAAACTGCTTTATAATGTTGCTAATCTTTTCAAACCGATGAAGGTCCTGATGGTCTACTGTAGCTGCATTTGCGATCACCAAAAACGTTGTCCGTTCAAAAAGCACGACCTCATCTGCATCGCATGTGCGACAAAAGTATTCCAGATGTGACTCGAGCGTACGGATATTGGGTATCAAACAATGGACGATTTGGGACCATGCCTAAACGTAATTTATGCGCATCGTTACACTTCTTCTTCTCTCTCTGTATTTATTAAAGATCAAGCAAAATGAAAACGGGACGTACTGCATACAATGTTTCATCCCAAATGGATGTTCGGAATCCTCGTATTTGCAATGGTTCAGAACGGGTGCGTAATTCCTTGATACGGTCATCAAATATCTATGTGATTTTTTAACATAAGAGATAGATGGGATTCAGTTATAACATTATAATTACTTACTCTTTTATTGTTCAAATGATAAAGAAACCAACGCCAACACATAGGTTACCACATATAGTACAATAAATTATTCTTACCTGATCACGTTGTTGTTCTGGTAAAAGATCCATTTTATGTATCAAGCAAAATATCCGGGCATCTTTAGAGTTAACCCGGATGGCATCCAAGCACGATTGGTAATAATGCAGATCACTGCCCCAATCCCGACTTTCGACGTCAAATACGTAGATAAGCACTTCGACGTTCTTAAATATACGATCCTTTTGTGATGCAAAGTAGTTTTCCATGAACGCTTCTTGTCTATGTAAATTTCCCCCGTTTCTCGATTCAGTATTCGTTTCTTTTTATTTATGCATCCCCCCTCCACCTTCGTCCGTATCGGCTTACCCTCCACAATCCCATAGGTTGAGTACAAGATTGCCAAGGAATTTAACGTTTGAATGCTCAACGTCAACTAAAAGTATCATACGTTAGTTTTTTCCCGTTCATTCAGCAATGGATTCAATAAGAACAAAGAACTAACTTGTAGCACCAAGCCGTCGGGTGTCGCGTGCAATGTAATTGCTGAAAATGATGGAGCGCATGGACGTTTTTCCCGAGCCGCTCTTACCCATCAATAGTACCTAGAGCAAAACGAAAAGGCAGCATAAAAAACTTGTGCATAGTGAAGAACGCGCGTTGCCGAGTTTAAGGGAGGAGCAACAAGCTGCAAATATTGTTGGCAGATAAGTGCAGTTATGATTCTCGGCAGCGTTCGTAAAATGTACTTTCTTTTTCCTTCTCTTCTGTCCTTCTTCTAGCTGCAGGGAATTTTTCGTAAGAAACAAGTGGTCACTTGCATTACCTTTTTCTTCATGGTTGTAAAAGATCGTGTATATAAAAGTGGAGAAGAGAGAGAGGAGCGGAGCAGCCCCGCTTTCTTCCTAGCAAGTATTTGACAACGTCCATTGGCTGGATAATCATTACTCCTGCAACTCTAAGCATAGTTAAAGGAGCATGGCTCATAACACTTACTAATGCCTATGGAATTGCTAACCTTTTTATTATTCAGGCTGCTTTCTTTCAAAAACCACATAGCATTTTCTATTAGTTTATACACTAGTAGCTTTTGGGTTTTGCCCAATTGGTGCCACATGTGATGAACAAAAAAGCTGAACGAAAAACATCGATGTTTCTGCTGCTGGATGTATTTGCATGTCATTTCACAAAGGATGTCCGTTTTAAACACGACATTTTGCTTAGACTATCTAGAATCATTGTAAAAGCAGTTTGTTTGAAGTTAAAATACTTTTAGAGTACCTTTAATGTGCGTTGCTTGTATACGTCGAAGGAATTGTTAGCTGATAGCTAGTTGCTTGTTTCTTCAGAATGTATGGTTTTTTTATACGTTTCATTAGATCTTATTCCTAACTCTCGCTTATAGCGAGAAGAGTATGCTGTTATCATACTCTTTCTCGTAGTTATCGAAAATGGATTCTGCGCTTAATCTACTGGTGTCGGTTTGTTTTCTATTTGCTGTAGTAGCAGTAGTAGCTCTAGTATTTATCAGATCCTTTCTATCTCCATTGGTTGAATTACTGAGATATATATGCATTCTTAAACGTTATGCCCAATGCTATCAGCACACGTTCTTGTCATAGCCAAAAGCAGCATTTGCAATGGCGCATACAGTAACCATATAGAGAAACCAATGCGTACTACTTTATAGAAACTTTCGGATGTGGATGGTATGACTGTCCAAGTACGAAGGTCATATTTGTATGCTTGATTTGAGCTTCGGTCCACATACCAAATGTTTCATAGTATACTATGTATACAGCTAGGGAATGTCTCGTCACTTTACATGATATATAAAATCGCTTTTTGATTGTAATTGACATTCCAAGTCCAGAGTGAAATAAGAAGAGATGCAGGAACAATATCATTGATGGTAATGCCGGTAGTATATACGCATGCTGCTTACAGTATTGTGCTACCACGAAAACATTGTCAGATATGATATCCAAAATGCAGTAGAGTAGAGCTCTTAAGAGTTATATTTCGCTCTAATTTGTCTGATTTTAATGTTACAACAATGAGTATGACGTACATCTGCTGCAACCTTCTCTCTATCCGTGACCAGCAGAGTTGTGTACTAGCTACAACAACATACCTTTGAGCTTTAATGTCATGTACTCGACCCACAGCGCTTGGTTCCATGCTCTTTATTATGCTGTTTTTGTATGCGTTCTTCAGGCTATTATGGGAACATTAAGACAGGTAGTGCAATGCTATTGTATTAGTATTATTTTAGAGCGTTATAACGTTCCTTTTCTTTACATCACTGGTGTGCTGCCATAAACAGAAACAATGCAGATCGTTACACAAGCCGAACTTTAATCCTCAAATTGATTGGATGTCGTGTCTGTTTTAGGGCCCTATTTCTTTCTTTCTACACATTTTCCTTCTGTTCATTTCATCTTTCGGTCCATTTTTCTGTGAACACAAGAACTTGGTATCATGGCTACACGGCATGCTAGAACAGCTGATAAGGCCTTGAATGAAAAGCATGCGACCATCTTAAAGGGTTTGTTACGACAGCCTGGCAACAAATACTGTGCTGATTGCAAGCGCAAAGGTAATTACAAGCTATACGAAGAGCTCACCATGGAGATGCATTATATTTTAGAATAAAGATTGCTGACGAAGGAATTTTAATGGGGAATTAGATCCTCGTTGGGCATCTTGGAATTTGGGACTTTTTGTGTGCATTCGTTGCTCGGGTATTCATCGATCGATGGGAACACATATTAGCAAAGGTAAACTACTCTATCGGTTAAAGACTGCAGACCGGAAGAATGAGATAGCGAAAGATACACTAGCTCACATTGACCGTTTCTCTGTCACATTTTTAAAGTAAAATCTGTCGATTTGGATACGTGGGTGCCAGACCAGGTTGAGAACATGACTCGCTGGGGAAATGAACGGGCCAACAAGTACGTAAGAGGGAAAAGTCTAAAGAACGAGAGTGTGCCGATGTGGGACGGGTTGCTTACAAGTCGAATGTGATTTTTTAAAATAGATATTGGGAAGCGAACTTGAAGGATAAGCGACCATCTGAGAGCAACATTGATATGTGGATTCGGGCAAAATACGAACAAAAGCGATGGGCTATGCGAGGACCTATTCCCGATCCAAGCACGCTCGGTGGAAGTCAAGAGAGCAGTGTTGCGTCCGAAGCATCATCTTCACCCAGTTCACTTCGAGCTGAAAGACCCAAACAGCAACAACAGCAACAGGCATCAGCACCAGCCAAACCCAAAGCATCAGAGTTTGCCAATTTGGATGCCTTTCTTGGATCTCCCACAACAACAACAACACCTGCACAACCTGTAAAAGCGTCATCATCCCCTGCATCCCAACTCCAGGGTGCCGATTTCTTCTTTGGAGGTAGCAGTAGTCCTGCTCCCGCTCCTGCAGCTCCACCCAAACAAGAGGAAAAGCCAAAGTCCAAACACAACGATCTTAAATCATCCATTCTTTCTCTGTACAACCAGACACCAGCCCAGTCGATGCCTATTAATAATGGCGGTGCTGGTGGTTATATGAACAACATGAGCAATTTCCAGCAACAGCTTTCAGGATTATCTCTAGGTGGACCCTCCTCGGGTGTGATTCCACAGGCACCTCCTGGCCACTCGTTCCAAAACGTTTGGGCATCTAACACAAATCCTATGCAGCCAACTACGGCTCAGAATCAACTTCCTCAGGGCGGTCAATTCTTTCGTACCCCTGGTAACGGAAATACCGCTTCTTCGACAAACATCCCTCCTAAGACTACCCCGGCTCATGAGCAAGTGTCAAAATTTTCATTTTTTCTCATTCTTTAACAACATACACTAACTTATATCCATGCTTTATAGTGCATTTGCCGATCTTTTGAAATAGACTTTCCAAATAAACGTGCATACAGAAGAAAGAAGCGTTCTGTTTTCCCTTAAATTTATAATGCTTTCCCCCTCCGTAACAATATCTTGTCTGCAAAAATATATAAACGCTACGTGAAACACCCTTGTACCCAGATTATATATTGCGTTTGTGTGCTATGCTTGCTTACTTTAATGCGGCAGGTGATTGCCCTATTTTTTACTGCTGTAAATCAAGAATTTTCAGCTACCATTATTCACAAAGAAAAAGGCGGCGTCCCTACTTTTTCAGGTATCTATCTAGTTTAATGTCAAGGAGATAGAAAAGGCATATCGCATATGCTGAGTATTATCTCATACCAGACAGTTACTAGTAGCAAGACTTGAATTTTCCGCCCAAAAAATGTAGGCATGAAAAAAGCTACGTCGTCCACGAGATTTCAACCTGCAATAAGGTCCAATGACAAACAATAGGCACAGCACCAAAGTCACAACACAGTACCAATAGCAGTAGGCGAAAAGATTGAGAGAGTAGCGCTTTTTTTAGGAGCACTGGTCATACCTAGAAAATGTAGACTATTACATAAACAACTTCTCAACAAGCAAGCAATAAAAAGTTAATTCTTCCTGTTCTCCTCGTTTTGAATTGAAATAAAAAAACGTACATAGAATAATTTAAGCTTTCGTGAGCGAAGAAGCAAGTCTAGCACACACGAACGTTTTGTATGTTTTATGATAACACTTAGGTTGAAATTTGGTGCACGATGTAGCTTTTTTCATGCCTACATCTTAATGCTTTTTCTCAGGAAGCAGCTCCCTTTTTTTCATACTCAGTTGTTTTTTTGGGTGGAAAATTCAAGTCTTGCGTTACTATAGTACGACTCCGGATAGTGCTCCCAAAAGTAACGCGTCATATACATAATTGTGCACAACATGAATCAGAAGAAGCGAATGAGGTACCAAGTGTTAATAAAGCAGCATGGACCAGTACTGCTATATACTACAGAATCGACGTCAGATATCGAAGTTGTGATTACTGTAAAATACTGCCACAACTCAAAGACCTGGATCAGCATTTAGATATAAAAGGAGTAGAATAAGGGACAACGAGTAAGAAAAGAACGGGAAGGGATACCAATATCGTAGGCAACATATGAAAGGGTGAAGGATCAAAGACAAGTACATATACTCGTGTTAACACATAGCTTAAAACCGTGATGAAGGTATGTGAATGGGATGCACCGCATGATTCACAAGTAGACGATAGTACTTGTACTGTACATATGTACCTATGTACACGTGAACAATCATTTTTTGGTTAGGCTTGGTCACATTGAACGTTCGCTTAAATTTGCTGCATGACGTTTCTAAGCTCTAGACAAACCTTCCGCTGAGACGATAACCCGCTCTGTTCTTCTATTTCCATTTTCTTCTTCAATCGGTACAAAGAAAGCCAAGAACAACTGACTAAAAGACGGATGTCAGAAACTGAACAACCCAACGGGCCAGCTCAAAATGTAAACAAACTCTTAAACACTAGGCAATGCGATACAAGGAATCATCTGCCACTCGCATCTCACGGTTAGGACGACATGCTTTCCAGTCTATCATACGGCAGCAGTAGCTCTGTGTCGATCGCGCGTGCTTATGCTCTTAATAACAAGGAAAGCTCAGGGAAGTCTTGTCTGAAGCTCTGACAGCGATCGACCACACGCACTTGTCAACTGAAGAATACGTTGCCGCCGGCCACGTCTGCTTTTTGCATGGAAAGTCGCAGCTGCAGGCTATTAACATTTACGCACGAGGGCTACGTGTCTTAATACCTTCTACTTGACACACTCTTTACGAGCGACGATAAGAATCAAATGACAGGCCTTAATGGCGGGTGGACTTCGTAGCGATGCTGCCAATTGAAATCGTTGAACGTATATTCTCTTAATAACGACCCTTATCTACGACGAATGCAACCTTATAAAAATGTACGCGTTTCAAAGCTTTGGAGAGGATGCTTTCTAGAAAGAATCTTCATGTATGACGAATTGTGTGTCTATCTATACATAGCGGAGGTCCTTCATCGGCAAATACACCTTTCACTCGAGCACCTCCACAAAATCGAAATGTTGGACGACGTGACACCTCGCCAGCTTTAACGTTTTTGACAAGCTATTATATCAAAGACAAAATATGTAGAGAGATACATTAAATTTGCATACTAGGATTTAGATATGTGATCACGAGATAAGGCGTAGTATTTTCATGTGTGCATTTGTCTTTGCTATATTCGCTCATTATAAGGAAAGCACTTACTAGATACAATGTGTATGTCACAATACATGGGTTATATTTTAACTTTATCGTGGCTGTCAAAGATAGCTAAAAATGTAAAAATATGTCAATACCTTCTAAAAGCTAATTCCTGTTGAAAACTCGCTTATCACATGGTATGAGCGGAAACCTTTCCTAACCTCTATTCAAGTTGTGTATACCAACAAAATCATGTTTGGCATACACATAAATTCTCAGCATAACTATACGACACCGTGGAATGGTTGGGTGGATGGTCGTTGTTGCCATGTGCTTGCCCTAGATGCTAGGTTATAATCGTGGGAAGTGAAAGACGAACATGGGAGCAGTTTTTGCGACCTGATAAAACTTGATGGAACTGTCATGGGAGCTGAACACCATTGTACAAGACGTTTGATGATGCCATCATCGACCAAGAATTTGCAGTGTCCAATCGGAACGGAGGTTTCATTTTAAAGATTGCAGCTGCGGACAATCGATTGGCATTATTGTATCAGATCTTCCATCTATCAACTTTTCTTCTTTTTTAGTTTGGATCATACAGTTTTCGGGAATGAGCGGCAAGGCATCCTCCTATACCATTTTATGGGCTTCACAAACTGGCAATGCCGAATGGATTGCTAAAAACATTCATTCCGAAGCAAAACAACGAGGTTATGCTGGTGAATGTTTTGCCATGGATGCTTATGAAAAGGTACGACGATAAATAATAGACATGACAGTGTTTGTTGTTGCACCCCCCCCCTTTCTTTACTTGACAACTGCCCACAGCTTCCTTTTTAACGCCTAAAACTTTTAAAGGCACAACTCGACAAAGTACGTGTATTAATTGCAGTGACTTCCAACACGGGCGATGGCGATGCACCAGATCATGCACTCAAGTTTTGGCGGTTCATGAGACGAAATAAGGAACCGGGATACTTCAAAGACTGCAAGGTTGCAGTTCTCGGTCTCGGTGACACCAACTATACCAACTTCAACAACCAAGCCAGACGCTTGGAGAAAAAGCTGAAGGATCTAGGTGCCACCGTGTTTTATGAAAAGGGCTTGGCCGACGAAGCCGAAGGGTAAGTTAAACGAGGTATTTAAAGAATAAAGAGGAACCAAAACTTGTATATAACCATCAAACCTATTTTATTTCTCGATTATTAGTCTCGAAAGTGTCGTTGATCCATGGATCGTAAAGCTGTGGGATGTATTGCCCAACGTTTTAGAGAAACAAAGCGAGGGAATCGCTGCCGAAAACTTGGCCGAAAAGATGGAAGCCGTCAAAATCGAAAATGCCGCCACTACTGACGATGCTGACAAGAACCCTTACTCGGCAGATGCTCGATCCACCGACCTTGTTCCTGAAGTCGAAAAATATCTTGGTTTGGAAAACTCATTGGTTGATCAAAACGGCAAAAAGCCCCATTTGGGCCATCCTTTGACGCTCGACTACTCTGGTTTGCAGAGTGGAATGCAATTAACGGGTATGCCTCGGGTTCCAGCTGCCTCGGCTAAACTCGTACGTCTGGAAGCAACCAGACCTGCTGACGAATTGCCTACAACTCAATGTATTGTCACGCCTAGCCCTATTATCCAAGCTTCGGTATCTCGTGTGCAATGCTTGACAACCCAGGATGCAATGAAGCGTACTTTGCATGTTGAGCTCCAAGTGGATGAGGGTTTAGAATATGAACCTGGTGATGCCTTTGGTGTCGTAGCACCCAATGATGAGTCGCTTGTTGAAGCGGTTCTCGATAGACTCGTATCTTCCACTGCTGAAGGATACGAAACACTTTACAATGTGGAGGGCGACAGTAAGTAATCAAGTCGATTTATACAAGTTGTATGACTCATGTGTGCTGTATTTTTTCTTTTTTTTTTCAAGGTCTTCCCACACATCTACAAAACTCCAAGTCCGTGACCTTGGTTGATTTGCTTCGATATGCCGTGGACTTGACTACGCCGCCAAGAAAGGCTTTGCTTCGTATGTTAGCCGACTTTACATCTGATGCCGAAGAAAAGACCAAGCTGATCTATCTCTGCAGCAAGCAAGGTATGAAGATACAATCTGGGATTAACCTTTTAAGGATTAGGCAGTTATTAACCCGGTTATGCGTATCGTACAGGTGTTTCACAATTTAATTCCATTCGAGAGCAAATGCCAACCTTCCTCGACATTCTCAAGACATTTCCAAGCTGCAAGCCTCCTGTGGAACGACTGCTCGATGCTCTCCCAGCTCATATGCCACGCTACTACTCCATTGCCAGTTCTCCTCTCAAGTACCCTGGCAAAATTCACTTTGCATTCAATGTCATTGACTACAAGAATGCCTTTGATGTTCCTCGCAAGGGTGTTGCTACGCCATGGTTGGATAGATTGACTGGCTATGTGGCTGCCCGATCCAGCAAAGAAGCCACGGTTGTGGATCTTCCTGCCAACTCGATCAAGGTCCCCATCTTCAAGAAGGAGAATGCCAATGCGTTCGTGTTGCCCAGCGATACCAAACGACCTTTGATCCTGATCGGTCCTGGTACCGGTATTGCGCCATTCATTGGTTTCATGCAGCATAGACAGCAGCAGTACCGAATCCGCAAGGTGATGGGAGGTGTTGGTACTCATCCTTCGCGCGATATCAAGAAGGAATTTGGCTCTATTTGGGTGTATTATGGTTTCAGAGAACGTGCCAAGGATTATCTGTTTGAGCAGGAACTCGAGGAATTTGTCAAGGACGGCACTATTGCACACCTGGGTTTGGCCGTCAGTCGTGAACAGACAGAGAGCAAGATCTATGTGCAGGATTTGATCCGCAAGGATAGTGACAAGCTCTATGATCTGATTGTCAAGCAGGACGCTGCTATTTACGTCTGTGGTGATGCTAAGGGTATGGCTAAGGGTGTGCAGGATGCACTTGTTGATATGCTTGTCCAACACCAACAGCTGGATGCAATGGCAGCCACTAAGCTTCTCATTGAATGGATGGGTAGCCGCAAGTATCTTCGTGATCTGGTAAGTTTCTATACCAATTACTACTTTCAATCATACAGCGTTTGATACTAATTTTGGTTCTTTAATAATTAATTCAAAAACAGTGGGCATAAACAAAAACGATGCATCCATTTTTCTATGTTCTTTTGTTTCCTTTTGTAAAAGATGTAAATGCTTTCTAATGTCAATTCAATTCTACACATTGCCTTTTCCAACTTCATCCATCCCTTACATTTCCCTGTTTTTGCTCTTCAACAAGCACTTGAAACTTTTTTTCTGATAGTGTATGTAAATTACGTATCATATTTCTTTTTCTTTTTTACCACTGTTTCTTTACTTTTCTTCCCTTTCCTTTAGAGCTTTGCCATTTGAAGATCAATGATCTTCTTGATGGAGGGATCGAGAGGAGCTGCCGCATCAACTGCATTATAAATAGTGATATTAACATTTTTCTGTGAATATTTAAAAGTTTAAAAAGATCAACACACACACATGCGGGAACTTACCAGTCTTCTTAAATCGTTCAATGTTGAGTTTCAAACTTGGATCAGATTTGTTAATTTCAGAAATCTTAAGCAAACATCGAATAGCCAGCACCCATTGTTTTTGACGGAGGTAGACTTCAAAACCAAGGTTGTGAGTATCGATCGAGTTGGGTGCAAGCTGCTGCAGTGGCTTGATGAATAGCATGGCATCTTCTAAGGGTGTCTTTGTGTTGAGATATTTCTCGCCTGCCGGATCCTGATCAACAGGTTGTTTGCTACCGTCTGGCTGCTTCTTGGCTGCAGGCGTTGCAGCAGCAGCTGCTTCTTCCTTCTTTTCATTGGTTTTTTGTGCCTTGAGCTCGGCCTTGCGTGCCTTGCTTCGTGCCTTTTTCTTTTCAGCTTCGCTCATTCCACTTTCATCAATGCCGTTTGAAGGGCTGGGCTTGTCTGCGATGGCCAGGTATGCCTAATTGAATTATAATCCCCCCATAATCCAATTAATAGCTATCCTATTTTTCCTGCTAAGAATACACTCTGACCCTTTGTCCATTCACTCAACCCCACAGCCCCTTCCTTACCTCAACAGCACCCTTGGCAGCCTTAAGATAGTAAGGATGATCACGGATATGGTCCTCGTATCGGAGAAGACTAAAGGGATTCACAAGCAGCTATTATTAGTTTCAAGAATAGTTCTTGTTTAAAAAATTTGATGGAAAAGAAGGTGTATCCTTACCTGACATAAGCTCGGAGGGTCATTTTACGCGCGCAGTAGGTATGGAAATCGAATTGATCATCGAAAATATCGTCATAGATCTTTTCAATGGTATGGAATCGCTTCAAAGCCTTGCCATATTCCTTTTGTCGCAAGTATGCATATCCTTCCTCAATGTTGAACCACTGACATTGCATATCAGCCAAATCCTGAATAGCAGGTACTTCCTTGCGCGTAAACAGGGCAAGTGTCTTTTCAGCCTCTTCAACCTTGTTGGCACGCAACATATATTTTGCACATTTCGAGTTGACAAATCTGTCTTGAAGATCCAGTTCGCGAGCATCGTTCATAATAGTAGCTGCTTTTTCGATCTGGCCCGTATGCTACATAGAAATTACGCATTTTTCGCCGTTCCCAATACGACCCAAAATACCAATGTTATTTCTCTTCAAACCGCATAGTAGAGAGAGATGCAGAACAATTAGATACGCTACCTTGAGGATTCTGGCCTTGGTCATATACAATTCGACAACAGTAGGACTATGGTCAATTGCAGCCTGGATAGTCTCGAGTGCCTTATCGTGCTGAGAATGGTAATCGTAGTGTTGAGCGATATAGTACAGTGTCCACAAAAGAGCAGTAGGTGGTTCCTTTTGACCTTCAGCAGTGAAGCGGCCAGTCTTTTCCAACGATTCGCGATATCCCAACACTAGCTTTTCAATAGCAGCATGCTTTTCGCTGTTACCATAGTATTTCTTTGTGCTAGCGAAAACAGATGGAACACCCTTGCGCAAAGCATTCTGGAGGACGGCGTCGACCTTTAGGTTAAACTTGTCACCCTCAGCGTACTGCAGCACGAGACCTTCAACGGCTTTGGATTTGGGGTACTTGTCATAGGTTTCGGTCAAGAATCGGTAGGCTTCAGCACGCTTGCTCTCTAATGAACCAGTCATCAGTTATGGTTTCTTTTTCTCGACTAGTATGTGTAGTCACTACCACCATCTTAATTTTAAACCAGACACTTTACCATCATCCAAACCCTTCAATGCCAACAAAGCCTTGACGTAGGCACGGTCATGAGGATTTTCGGCAACCAAGTTCCAGTAGCCCTTTTCGGCTTCCTCCTTTTGGTCCAACTTGGTCTGGAAGTAAGCCCGCTTTTCTCTAGCAGCACGCTTATCCATGACCTGATTCTCGATCTTGTCCAGATGTTCCAATGCACCCTTGAAATCGCCCATTTCCTCCAACAGCGAGTTATGGTACATCAATAACTCGGAATGTTCGATCTTATTGCCGATATCCTATATTTAAAAATTATAATAATAACAATGCAATCAGCGAAAAATCGTCTACTGATACATGATATCCGCATTACCACTCCACCAACGAATCCTTCTTTTTGTCTTTAATACCTTAACCGACTCTTCGTGCGAAGTCAACACGGTGATTGCTTTGTCGGGTTTGCCGGCGAGTTGATGGGCGACAGCCAATCCAATCCAAAATGGTGGGTTTGTAGGTCTTTGCTGCAGTAACTGAGTTCTAGTTTCCTTTTATTCCACGTAATAGTTGTTGATGGTATCCAAAGAAAAATGCATATAATAGAGAGGTTAGCTTCAACATCGCATACTGTCGAGATCTAATATGAACTAAAGATAGAAAGTTTCCACCACCATCCCCAAATGTATGATTTTCTTTCTGACTTACAATCAAGGCATCATACTGACGCATTTGGGTTTGTAACAAAGCAAAATCGCGCAAAATATGGATATCGTTCTTATTGTACTTTAACGCGTGAGTGTAACATTTTGCTGCTTCGGCGTAGTTCTTGTCAGCACGGTGCAATAGACCGTACACATGCCAACCTAATCAATTATTCCGTATACGCGTTATCAAATCAGAATTCTACTAAAGTCGATTGCCCGTGGTTCTTCTTTCTAAATAAAACTTACAGATATGCGATGTCAAATCATATTGCAAGCCCTTTTTGACATATTCATAACCTTCCTCCTTCTTCTGAAGGTTGTTAAGGAACAAGCCCTTCATGGCCAAAGTTTCTAAGGAACAAGCAAAACAAAGGTTGTCAGCTGTTTTATTCACGCTACCACCACTACCAGCCCAAACACCTTAGCAGAAACAGAATTTGTACCTCCATGCTCAGGAAACTTTTTCAAAATCGAATCGGCCAACTTCAAGCCCTTTTTGTATTGTCGGTGCTCATAAGTTTTCTAACCAAAAATAAAATGATTTATTTAACCTTGGATTTCAGGGCACTTTGGTAATTATATATTTTTTTTGGACGCGGAAGAGGGGATGAGCAGTGCTTGCTTACCAAAATGTTTTTGAAAACGGCGGCTTCTTTTGAAGGAAGTTCTCTCTTGGGAGGCATTATGGTCAAAGGGATTTCTCAAAACTACAAGAGAGGGAGAGGAAAAGAATGAAAAGCGTGTTTCTACGGGCTGAGTATGTGGGTGGCGGGGTAGAGTAGGGCCTCTCTCTCTCTACAACTGGGCCTATCATTAACAAAAGATTTTGAAGTTAATAGTGACTTGCGAAATGTCACAGCAATGACTACCGCCGCAGTATCAGATCTCGCATACTATGCATAAGCATTCGAAGATTGTTGCGCTATCTACTACTACACATGAAGCAGACCATTTGAAGCTAAAACTTGTTATTAAGGAAGCTGATTTCTAACATAGTTTAATCATGAGGAAGATGGTACTTTCACCAAAGTCCAGCCGTATATAAGCACTTGCTTACTGTTTCTGCTGTCGCTACAACAAAATTTGACAGAATGAAGTTTTTTATGCAGAATTCGCTATTATATGATACACTTTGATCTCGTCGGTCTTCAACCGCAAACCTATATCTCTTTTCGGCCAATATCAAACCCCAAAAGAATTAGTGAGATTTATATTAGCTTGCGGACTAGTTTTTTTTTTGTAGGTGAACTGCTTCCAGACTAGTATTTAGAGGCATAGTAGTTAATACAAGCAAATCATAGAACTGTCAAAACCTTATTTATACGCACAAAGTTATACAAAGTGGGGCTGCTGCTGTACTTTTTACGCTCTGCATAATTTTCATCTGCCCACCCGCAACTGATATATACTCTTTCCTACCTCCTCCTCCCCCACTCTTCGAATTTCAAGGCGGGTTATTCCCAAATTGTCAAACTGAAGAGTAAGAGGAATCGCAAGATCATAAGGCTGCAACATCTGATACCAGTAGGAATGAACAGGATCATATAGTATCCGATAATGGCAGCGTATATGGTGAGCGCGAAGAAAGTGAAAAAAAAAGTCAACCACCTCTAGACTTGAGCCTAACGGCAATGATGATCTTCACCAGTTTTTATCGTACAGCACGACAACCATCGATATTGAAAAGATAAAAACCTACAATTATAAGATTCACATATCTTATTTCGTCTTTAAGCCCATGACGTAAAAACCATGACTTCTTTGCTAATACATTAGGATGTTAAACTATGACCCTTTACAAATGACTAACCGTTCTCGTATGTAGCAGAACATGAACTTGTAGATTGGTGAAGGGCAGAAAGGTTGGCCAGTTTTAGCAGGGACTACATAAACAGGCTCAGACGGAGCAGAGAGGTCAGAAAGGGGCCCCTTGCTGCCGCGAATTCACGCAAATCCGTTTAAGGCCTCTCTAGGTGCTGTAAGCAACCTTTCCAGGCTAACATAGTTACTCGTCATATTTGACCGTTTTGTACCCAAATCCTACCTCTCCTACACATATATGGTAGTAGGTACAGTAATAATACCGCTCTTACTAACCTCTCTTATACATATTTCCGCTTCTTAATAAATGTAAAAGACTGCAATCCTTATCTTCTTTATTGCTTGTGTATGCTCAAAAACCAAAGCAAAGAAAGCTACAATTACATTTGACAGCGTCGAAGATGCAATTACTGCACCAATGGATGATAAGTCTGGAAAGTGATAGCCTATGTGGCAGGGTGGGTAAACGTTAAAGCCCACGAACCTTTATGTTTTTCGTGTGCGTTTTTTCGCTATATCGTTATCAACCCCCCTTGTATCCATCCTACCCAACAACAGTTCATCTTTGCTCTGCAAGTCTTTCATTGTGAATTGATTTTTTGCTTTGCAAGTCTTTCATTGTGAATTGATTTTCAACAAAAATAAAAATTACACACTTTTGATGGAAAACTTGTGTTGACGATGTTCATGTCCATAACTTTAATCCCACTCAAAAGAGTTGATACAAACTTCACTTGTAGGTATTTTGGTCCGGTCCTCCGATCGTCAAACCCCGTACAACACTAGAGTACAAAAGGAGAAGGAGGCAAAAAGCCAACACGAGAAGATTGAACGAACATATAGTTTAGTAATAATTAATTACTAACTTTTTCACGTTGTTCTGTTATCGCTGGTGCAAAGGAACCGTTTTTTTAAACTTTTACTGTCCTCCGTCATGCAAATTTAGGCGGATCGCAAAAGAAAAGCCTGTCTGTCGATAATACTTTGCGGTTTTTTTGAGTGCCATCGGGTTACACAGCTAATACAGCATTTGAGATACCCGAAAACTTGGGGGAGGGAAAAAAAACAAGATAGTAAATCAAGCTGTGTGTGTATATTCCAATTACAAGGCAAAAAAGATCGCTAAACTTTAATACACTTTTCGCAGATCGGTTTCCAGTTAGTGTAATATGATATGTATTATGAGCAGATTTTTCACATACACAAAAGACAGATAGATAGAGCGGTTGATACATACGAGCGTTACTAAATGTACAGAAAGAGACGAATGCGGTTGACGCATTAAAGGCGTCACTACTACTATGATACTAATACTATTAGGTCACCCATTTGTGAGTGAGAGAGAGAGAGAGAGTGAAAAAGGGGACAAACCCCGCGGTAACATTTCCCCACACTGGATAAGGAATATTTGAGATGGCAATCATCATCTGTGGGCCATAAGCAAATCACACGGCTCCCAGCAACAGCTATCTATCGCTTTGCTATCGCCTATCACTAGACATAGCACACACACAAAAATGACACTAATGATAACATCAAATGCCAAAAGAAATGAATGGGAATATTCTCACAGAATTCTTAAAGGAAAAAAAACACACATACACACAAACAAGTAGACATGCCAGCAAACATGTGATCAGTGACAAACCACAACTCAGGGTGGGGTACCAAGAAAAGAGTGAGAACAATGGCGTGGGAGAAGAAGAAGAAGAAAGAAGGGGGGGGAGGAAGTGCACATGTGCATCACTGTATTCAAATCACTGATGTCAAAATTGTTCTTTTATTAGATATCCTTCCGGAGTCATGATCAAGGGAAAAGCGACGAATAAGGGTGTGCATCTGTATGATTCCCAAAGGCTAGGCTTTCAAATAAGCGTTGTCGAGTGCTTGCTTGAAATCCGCAATTATATCCTCGACATTCTCTATGCCCACAGACGCGCGGATCAAAGTCTCTGTGATTCCGAGCGACGCTCTCAAAGCTGGCGGCACATGTCCATGGCTCATGTAGACAGGGGACGACACCAACGACTCGGCACCACCCAACGACGTTGCGAGTTTGGCCATCTTCAAATGCTTGTAGAACCGATTGACGTTGTCCAGGTTGCCCTTGATATCAAACGAAACCATGGCGCCGTATCCTTTTTGTTGTCTGCGCACCAATGCGTGCTGTGGATGCGATTCCAGACCTGGATAATACACTGCAGTGACCTGCGGATGATTTACCAGATATTCGGCCAACTGGATCGCATTTTGTTCATGGCGATCCATACGTACTTCCAAAGTCATGAGTCCGCGGCGTGCCAGATAGCAATCAAAGGGAGATGGGACGCCCCCCATACAGTCTTGGACGTATTGGAACTCTTTGTGTAGAGCGGGACTGTTGGTCACTGCAACGCCCATCAGAACATCCGAGTGGCCGTTAATGTACTTGGTCACTGAATGCATCACGACATCGGCTCCAAGTTGCAACGGATTCTGAAAGTATGGAGTCATAAAGGTGTTATCGACCACCAAAAAGGCATCCTTGTTGTGTTGATGGATGTGTTGCGCAATCGCTTGGATATCAACGATACGTAGCGTTGGATTGCTGGGTGTCTCAATCCATACCATCTACGATTAAAAATAGAGTTCTCAGTGTTGCTGTTTTGTAGTGATGCGAAAAAAGAGCTAATATGTATACTGTAAGATGTATAATTCGCACACATTCACACACCTTGGTATTAGGTTTAAACAATCCAGCGATATCATGTGGATTACGCAGGTCGGCAATGGTTGTTTCTATTCCATGCTTGGAAGCAATTTTTGCAAAAGACTCATATGTACCGCCATACAGTGCATCCGAAGCAATCAGATGCGACCCAGCGGGCAATATGCTTAGTACAGCAGAGGTCACTGCAGTACCGGATGAGAACGCAGATGCATACTCGGCTCCTTCAAGTGATGCTATGGCTGTTTCAAACGCATTTCGATTCGGATTCCCAGCTCGTGTGTAATCAAAGCCCTGTTTAATTGGGAATTTTCATCGTTAGCTTTTTTGACCAAGAGATAAGAGCTGCAAAGAAAGGAAAGAAAATCTATACTGATATTCGCTTGCTATGTATGCAATGTTCATATACATATATATGCAGCAATGAAGAATAGTGCAGAAAATAAAAAGAAAGCAGCAGTATGTAAAAAACCTGAATAACTTCAGCAGCGGGTTGAGTAAATGTTGTTGACAACGAGATTGGTGGAATGACGGCGCCAGTCGCAGGATCTGGTTCTTGACCAGCATGAATGGCGCGTGTGCCGAAACCTTGCATGCTTTGTTTCGTGTCGTTGGCCATAGTAGCTGCGATAGAATAACTCTTTATAAAAAAGGCGAAAAAGAGCCATATAAGGAAACAGTCCCTTTTTTTACGCGCCGACGAGACTACTATATGTTATGACCATATCACCAGAAGGCAACAAGCAACCAGGGAAGCAAGTGCGCGCTCGTTGCAGCAGTAATGGCAACAGCAGCAGCTGTTCGTGCCTGTTACAGGCAATCAGAATCTATATTACAATAGAGGACATTTTTATTTCCCGTGAGAAAAAAGACATAAAAGTACTGAGATCCGAGGAACATTGTCCTATTTATTAAGTATACTAGAACGACGGTTACCAGCTGAATGCTATCCGGGCCTTTTTTTTTACTGCCCACCACGCTTCTATTCTTCTCTAGTATGTAGTAAGAATAGCAGCAATGACAGTAGGCCCCTTTCCTCTCCCATTTGCAAACATTGGACGTTGTTGTTGTTTGTTACTATCATTACTGCTGCATTATCGTACATTGTATCTGGAGATGCATTGACCAGCAGTCTGAGCATATGTACTTGTGATGCGTGCAGAGAAATAATGTGGCGTAAAGAAGGCATAGTGAAAAAGTAATTGTTTTGAGCAAACAACAACTTTTTGCGCGCACACGCCCCCCCCGCCACCAACCCGTCGTGCATTGATCTACGTAATGCCGCCATTGGCATCGGGGTTGTCGCCATTTCTTTGTTCTATAGAAAGTTGCGGCAGTAGATGGTTCTTCTAGGAATAACTACATCGTCATTGAGAATTCCTACCTGCAAAAGCCATTTTACACACGTGTGGAAGGGAGGGGGGGAAAGAAGGGGAGGTAGCGCGCTCTCGGGGTATGGGTTATTTAGTCAGTAAGTGCGGGCTACTAGGGGTGGTTTTAAGAAGGTCTTTTCTGGGGGTGCTAGACCATCTTTTCGTAGTAGATCACACATCCATCATAGTCCCAAGATGGGCTAAGCTTGGAAGCTGCTGCTGGCGACGATGACGATGAAAGATGGCTATCCCGCATAATATCACTGTTTTTTTTATATATAAATTATTGGTATTTTTAAAATATACTCCTACGGAGGAAAATTGACAATGGGAAGCGCTAATATAGAAGGGTCAATGACACAAGTATGGGGTGAGAAACAGAGATGAGGAGAGTGTGTGGGTGTGCGCTGAGTTTCATAAAAGAAAATAAGGGTCCCTCATGGTATATAGTTTGGGGGTGGGGTAGAGAGAGAGAGAGAGAGAGAGAGAGAGGTTGGCTACACAAGAAAAACAAAACACACAAATAGAAGGGTCATTGACATGATGGATACTAAAAGTGGGGTTGGGCTGGGTGAGAGCATACCTCATACTTCATACGCTCGGTGCATAGCGGGAAAATAAATAGTGTTGGAAAGAAGAAAGGAGGCAGGGAAACTTGAACTTGGGAAAGACAACGAGTCGATGACTGTACTGCCTCCTGCCATTGAAATTCACATTGCACATAGAAAGGCGACCCCCACCCTCAATTCTCTCACGCTGTGTTTTTCTCCATATGTCAAAAGCGGGCAACCAAGTCAGATTTTGTTTTTTTTTTTATGTACAGGAATGATGTGTGTGCTGTTTTTTTATGTGACACTTGATAATAATAATAATAATAAAGCATTTCAAAAAGAGACAAAGAGAATAAAGAGGTTGGGTTCATACTATAGAAATGTGATTTGAGTGTGAGAGGCACAAGATGGGTTATGTTGTGATTGATGAGAGAGAGAGTGCGTGTGTGTGTGTGTGTGTGATTTTTTTTTTTTTGGATAAAAAGAAACGATGCTCTATACAGAATATGCTATGCATCTACTACATAATGGGAACAAAAGAGAAGAATAACAACAGCTCAAATAGAAAAGAATGAAAAAACAAGATGTGTGTGTGTGCGAAATGATGGATGATGGATGACGGATAGTAATAATAGCAATGGTATGTAATAGAGAAAATGAAGAAGGAAAGGGATGGTATAAATGTTTAGCTGCAGTAACAGTAACAGTATTGGTAGTAATAGTAAAAGTAGTGTTGAATGAAGTAAGCAAGACAAATGGGTTGGATTACTAGAATGGAAAGATGGAATGAATGGAAGGCAACGATGACGCTGACGGGCACTGTTGTTGTTGCTGTGGCATCATGATAGGAGGCAGGATGCGTGCTCGCGGCGGTCGGTCCAGAAGATCCATGAGACTGCTATTGCTACGCTTGCATGGGTGGTGTTCCATCAGCTGCAATGACCGAGCAGCCAAGGTAGGTGAGTTGTCGGGCGTATTGACCAGCTCAGAATCAGAGTCAGAGTGTGGATGGTCAAACGTGTTTGATCCCGTCGACAAGGCGGGTGAGGGAGGCGTTGATGGTGTCGGTGTTGTTGCTACGACAACAGATGGTGACGATGGCAACGGCACTTTTTGTTGCTGCGTTACAAGGGTGGTGGTGTTGTTTGTTGCAGCAGCAGCAGCAGCGCGTCGTGGCTGCTGTTTTGTCACTTTGGCGCGTCGACGATTGGGAGAGGTGTGAATTCTGACATGTCGGGTCAATTCGTCCGAGCGTGAAAAGCGCTTTTCACAGCCAGGAAAGGTGCATTGGTGTGGCTTTTCGCCGGTGTGGGTGCGGATGTGTCTGGTCTGGTGCTCGAGGCGATAGAATGATTTGGGACACATTGGACACTTGTACGGACGTGGAATGTTTGCCTTGTCCACCGCAGCAGCAGCAGCAGCAATGGTGCGCTTCTGTAGCTGTGGGTGCTGTTGTTGTACGTGTGGCATTGAATGGGATGCTGAAAGACTGATCAGACCAGTTGCTGCTTGAAAGGCCATGTAAAGAGTGTGGACGATGGGTTGGTGAGGAAGGGGTGCTGCTGGTTGGCTGAGAGAGAGGATGTAGGAAAGTATAAGAGAGAGAAAAAAGAAAAAAAGAGTTGAGAAAAGCAAGGCCTTTATATAGTCGGGATGCAAGATGGGGGTCAAAGCGGCTAATTTCCTTTTCTGCCAATTGTGTGGGATGATGGACAAGCGATTAGAGGCAAACGGGGTGGGGGTGGGGGAAGGGCACAGAAAGAGGAAAGGAGGTTTTTGAGTGGGGGTGGGGATATGTATTATGTACACTGCGTGTGTAAAATACATGCACTTATTACAGGAGACTGCATTTTTTTTTTGGGGGGGGGAGTGGGCCGAGTGGAAGAGAAGAGAGCGGACCTGGACATTCGGGAAACGACGATAATACATCAGATAGCCTCAAAAGGGAATCCCTTACCAAATAGTCTGACTGGCCTGCCTGCCTGCCTGTCTGTCTGTCCACTGTGTTGTTGTAATATCCAGTGATTATTTCACACGTTCACTTAATCGAACTTTTTCTTTCTTTCCTGTTTGCAATTGCACACGCACCGCCACCCTTGGAACAGCAGCAGAGCAACCTGCACCCTTTCTGCCTCGGACAGTCCTTAAGAGCAAAAAGAGACAGCAGAGGCCAAAGAAGAACGAAAGAACGAAAGAAAAAGAACAAAAGGCCCAGGAGGACGTCGAAAGAACAATGCAGGGGGTGTGCAATACTATGTAATGCTTCTTCCTCTCTCTCCCCCCCCCCTATCATCGGATAATATCTCTGGCTTCTTCTAACTCAGTACATTTATCAAGAAATATCTACTACCCTACTACAATTACTACTACTACGCTTCAGTTATTGAGCAGCTCCAACAACACCCTCCTTCCCCCCCCAAAGGGGGTTTGTGGGGTAATCCCAGATCAACAAGTCCGGTTATGGTTATTCCGCTTATTGTAAAAAAAAACATAAATAAATAAATAAATAATAAACGAGTTCTCTCTCTCTCTCTCTTTGCTTTGATCATTCCGAATATCTCATTCGTATCGTAACATATCATAGAGTCCTCTCTCCTATCATGCAAACTAGTGCTGCTACACATCACATGAAAGTCACTGCTTTATCTAAAGAAAGTCTGTGTCAGCTTCTTCTTTCCTACTACTACTAGTATTACTAAGTAGTAGTGGTAGTAGTAATATGCAGAATCCCTTATCCGTGCATACTCTATAGCCGCCTGCGTTTGCTTCCTCCTCCTACCAGCCAACCCCTCCCCCAACCAACCAGATCATACGCTGAGCACATGCACGACGCGAAACAACATTAGGAGATTATAAAATTCAGGGAGTAAACCTAAAGGGGGCTGCGATGTGTGTGGAGTGTGTGTGTGGTGGGACACCCAAATCCAGACTGACCAGCAGCGATCACTCTCTAGCTTCTCTTCCATGCGTCGTCAAACACCACCACCATCAACGTCGTATATCGTATAACTATCGTATACAGAGGGTCGTAATAACACGTGAAGTGATAGTATGTATTGTCCAGCCAAGCTCAGTCTGTCCCCCTTATTGCCCCAAATCACCAGAGCCCCCCTCTCAGTATGATGTCAACGATGGCTGCTTGTCTCGTTTTTTCAAAATCAAGAGAGTGACGGTGTGTTTTTCATATGTCCTGTCTCTCTCTCTTGTCTCAACTGTTTTGCTACTCCGACTAAGGTTTTTTTTTTGTGACCACTTGCTATGACCACGTTTTTTTTTAACATTTACTATTATTATTTATTATGGGTATCATTACCCACCTTTTTTTTTCTCCGGAGCATGTCCGCATTACTTGTGGGGGGGGAGGATAGTGGGAAGAGACAAGAAAGAAAGCGGGGTGCATTTTTTTTGGGGGGGGGGTGTAGGGTGGGGAGATGCTTAGTGGCATGGGAGCACAAGTCAAGGGAAAAAAAAAAAAGGACAAAAACAAGCCCGCAGCCCACCGGGAAAAGGCCCAGTATAATATGCCGCCGCTTTACCCGTCTAATAATATCATTAACCGTTCCAAAACCAAAAACTTCCCGTCTGTGTGTATAGCATACACGATAAGCTTTTATTTCCCGTTGTCACAATGAGGCAAAGACCATCCTTGTACCATTAGCATAAAGTCACACGGACCCCGTTGCAAACTGTAGCGTGAGTGGTCTATGGTGATTATAGCAGTAGTAGTGGACAGTTCAAGCAGAGTGGTTGCGTAAGCGATCAATTCTTTCCCAGTGTGGGGGGGGGGACGAAATCCTGCTTAATTTTTTTTTTCTTTGTGGTTCCCCTTGAGGGTTAATAACTTTCACATTAACTCAATTGCACTGTTCATTCAGAAAAACTTCTTTTATTATTATTACTACTACTATAACTACCTACTAACTAGGGAGAATGCCACCTGTATTACAGTTTACTCCGTTTGCATCATCTGTCGATGCAGCATTTTGGCAAGATTTGGCAACCAAGAAACTCAATGTGCTGAAATTGTCAGAGGCCAGTCAGCCTGTTTACGCCTACTACGCAACAGGCCACAGTCACCATAGTTACAACAACAACAACCCGCCCCTTCCCGAGGCTGTCTCCATGCCAGCCCGGATTTGTGTCCCCGCTCAGGGGTTGGATACCAACGATGATACCAGGTAACATAATACACTGTGTTGATAACACTGGGTCGTAGGTAGTAGCCAGTAGTGCTTAGCCGATTGGGAACAATGGCTATAATATAACTTGAGAGGGAGGAGCTTATAAGCCTGATTCTTCTTTGCCAGACCACCGTTCACGTTTCGCGTAACGGGAACATTGCTAAACACAAACACCTTTGAAGACTTTAAAAAGTTGGACAAGAATAGTCTGTTCCAGCAACACAGTGACCAGGTAAGAGAAAACCCTATCCTCGTGAAATTAGATAAGGTGATGCTGTGTGTGTGCGAGAATTTCGGATAGATTGACATTTTTGTGCTCTCTGCCTTTTTATTACAATGTGTGAACGGGAATGAAAAGATATGGCAAGCCATTGAGAGCGGAGATGCATTTGATCGTCCGAGCGTCCTTTCGCATTTCCTCCTGCTTACGTTTGCAGATCTGAAAAGATACAAATTCTACTATTGGTTTGCATTCCCGGCTCTGATGCCGCAGGAGCCGTGGTTACAATCCCAACCCATCAGTCCGATCGCCCACACCTTTAGTCCCGTCGAGGTAAAATAAATCCCCCATCTATCCACTGTTCCTGCTTTCTTTTTTTCTTTCTTTATGACCTAGTGGCTGGGTCCCTGTACCTTTTTGTACTCACTTCCACCCTGCCCTTGTCCTCCTCCTCCCCCCCACCACCACCGCTCTCCCTTATTTGATCTTCCGATATAAAAAAAAAGACGACCGCGTTGGCCAATGCCTATCAAGCTGCCGATCGGCCACCGTTCTTCCTAGTCAGGCGCAAACCAACAACAGTGCTCTTGGGTCGCTTACGCGACTGGGACGAGTTCTATACCAAAGAACAGGACGAGGTTAGCTCAATAATACAAACAGGAAAAAGAGTGTGCGATCCGTTGATTAAAAAAGAGATCTTGGCTAGTTCTGGGTTGGGTTCGCAGACCCTTCCAATCGAGACACCATCCCGGGCTGGCCGTTGCGGAACCTACTTGCACTACTGCATGAAAAGCACGGCATCCGCAAATTAAATGTGCTGTGCTACCGCGAGATACCTGGAAAGGTTACGTCGATTGACGCCTCGCGGCTGCTTGTCGCCGAATTGCCACCTTTGGCCACTTTTACAAGTAAAGTAGTGAATAACAACCCTACTGGGGAAGAAGGGAAATTTCATGCAAAAAAGTTGCTGGTTGCTGGTGCGTGTGTGAAAAAAAGAACTTACCCCCCCCCCCGATCAATCCATCTAGAACCACCAAAGTCGGTCGGATGGGAAAGGAATGCACAGGCTAAACTTGCGCCAAGAATGGCTGATCTGGGCCCATTGATGGACCCTATACGGTAAATTATATACATTTAAAGGCTCTATCTTTTTGCTTTTCTCAAAGGGTCATCGAGGAAAGGGGTTCTTGGGGGGGGGGAGGGAGGGAGGGAGCCGCCTTTGTACTTTACTGATTCCGCCGCCACCTACATACCGTAGATTAGCAGATACTGCAGTCGATTTGAACTTGAAATTGATGCGGTGGCGCGTCATGCCGGACTTGGATCTGGATAAGGTTAAGCATACCAAATGTCTGTTATTGGGTGCAGGGACACTGGGATGCTATGTAGCGCGCTGTTTATTGGCAAGTCTTCTTCTCTTTTTATTTAATGAATGAAATTAAGGGGCGAGGCTTGGAAAAATAGAGGAGGTGGGGTAACAATAGTGAAATAGTTAGTGGGGGTGGGGAGGATGAGGAGGATGAAAGGGGAGAGAAGGAACGGGGAGTAAGGCTTTTGGAAGGGGTGAGCGTAATTAGCAGCATGTTAAAGCTTCCGTTTCTTCTAGGGGTGGGGCATTCGTCATATCACATTTGTCGATAATGGTCGAGTCTCGTTCAGTAACCCTGTTCGACAACCCCTTTATACGTTCAAGGATTGCGTCAATGGAGGGCAGCCCAAGGCCGAAGCTGCCGCTAAAAGTCTTTTGGAGATCCAACCCACCGTGGTGAGGAAGTGTGCTTTAAGTTTTCAGTGAGAGAGAGAGTGTGTGTGTGTGTGTGTGCCATTGCATCATGCATTCGTTCATAATTGCCCCCCCATAATACCCCATACATTACGTGCATGCGTTGGGGTCCTAACTCATTATATTCGGCGGCAACACCATCATGATAGAACTCTGTCGGATACAATCTGTCAATTCCTATGCCTGGACATGTCGCCGCCGCTGGTTCGGACGATGCTTTATCGAATGACATTCAACAGTTGACTGATTTAATTCGATCGCACGATGTTGTCTATCTGTTAACCGACAGCCGTGAAAGCCGATGGTTCCCTACCTTGCTTGCCACACAAGCCAACAAACTGGTGATCAACGCAGCGCTTGGATTTGACACGTATTTGGTGATGCGCCATGGGTCCAAACATGGCTCCTTGGGCTGTTATTTTTGTAACGATATTGTTGCCCCAGCAGATGTAAGTTTGGGTTACAATAAAACCTTTTTCTCTCCCCCACACACAAACAAACAAACACACCCGCAACCCAACAAAAGAGATGCATGAATGCATGTGTGCATGTGTGTGTGTGTGTGTGTGTGTATAAAACATCACGCTAAGAAAAAAGAGGGAAACTACCTTAGTCATTGACGGATCGTACGTTGGACCAGCAATGCACGGTTACCAGACCCGGACTCGCTGCCATTGCCGGTGCTCTTGGCGTCGAGCTGATGGTATCAGTGCTTCAACATAAAGATGGGTAACGTTGAGTTTCTTGATACATAGAGAGAGAGAGAGAGAGAACCTTGTCGTCGTTGAGAGATTTTCATGCAATTAAAAACATGGCTAACTATAACGAAAAAAACAAACAAACAAAATAGCATCGAAGCGGCTGCATCCGACGACAGTGATTGTGTTTTGGGCCGTGTCCCTCACCAAATCCGCGGATTCCTCGGTCAATTTCACAACATGCTTATTGTGGGACAAAGTTACGCCAACTGCACGGGTTGTTCAGAAAAGGCAAGTCCATTTCCACCGCGTGGTGGCTCGAACAAAGAAATTTTTCTTTTTGGGGGTTCTAAGAGAGGGAATGAGGAGGACAATGATCATGATATGACGATGTGTGTGTATACGTGAACGCTAGTAAACAACAACTATCTCCCCCACAAATTCAACCAATAGGTTATCGAAGCCTATCAGCAAAATCCATTGCAGTTTATAAGTAAGATCCTGCGTGACCCAGAGCATCTAGAACAAGTGTCTGGTATTGCACAGATGAAGGCAGAAAGTGATGCGCTATTGTTGGACCAAGATTGGGGCGACGAAGAAGAGGATGATTTTTAGAATAAAGAAAAGCTCTTACTTGTGACATATCAGTTTTGTCACGGGGAGAAGGGGTGTGGGGGGGGGCGGAGGATAGGGAAGCAGTAGCAGTAGTAGTATAAAAAATGCATTAAAGCACATATAAAAAATACGTGTTGTGTGGCCCATGGACCGGAATTTTTCTTATTTGTGTAGGGGTCCCCTTATCTTGGCTTTTATCTATCAACCTCCCACTCTACTCGCGTCTCTTTCTCTCTTTTAACCCCACCGACCCCCCCACCCTCCCCAACGTCGCACAGCATTCCCGGGCGATCTCTGCCATGCACATAATATGCCGATAACTGCGGTTCTTAAACCTTGTTTTTTTATACAGATGATGTGCTCTTTCTAATTCAAATAGACAGTATAATATACAAGTCAGATATCGGATCTGATTCTTAAATTCCGCTTATCGGGTTAGCAGGGAAGTTCTGTTGCGAACGCGTTGGATGTTTTACCAAACTTCTGTAACATGGTATGCTGCTCCGTTGTTGCCCGCAGTTATACAACGATAAGATTTACTGGGATCTACAACTATTATACGCGTAAAAACCATAGATGTGAAAATAACACAGATAATAGAAAAATTAGGCCTGTACAACGAATCATCATTTCAGCTTCTTAACAATAAGCTAATATGATAGTAGTAGACGCCACGCTTTATTGTATGACATTGGTATCATATTGTTTAAGAAATCGGGCTATCTTTTACATTTGCATGGTCCGTTCTCAAGCACTATGTAGTCTGAAATACAAGATGTCCATACAGAACTTTACAGCCTCACAACAATGCCTTTAGAAAGGGCAGTCAAAAGAGCTATAGCAAAGGGTAACTGAAGTATTTAGAATAAGGAAACACGCCAGAATCCACCTGATGGACCAACGGACCTTTTATTGCGGTATATTGTTTTACCAAGTACATAGGTCCCACTACTAGTCGAAAAGAAACCTCAGGAGATTAAGGGCTTAAACGAAGAAACCGACGCGTCCTAACGTTTGTGCCTGAAAGTATATTATTGCTGCTATTTTCAGATTATACTGTGATTACATCTTTCTTAGTGAAGAAGGGATTTCATTTATAAAACGTTTGGTTTTTAGATGGAGGTCCTTGGGAGACATGTAAAAGATTGGCATAACATAAAAGTCCAGCATTAACTTCCAACCAATCACAGGCACCACTCATCTCTTATGTTCATGTTTATGCACGTAGATATCTGAAGCCCCCCTTAGTATATCCTACTTAGAGCACAAAGATGCATGATGATGTCAATAAACGTACGATATGTCATTTCTTGTATTATTTACTTGAAGCTTTTTTGTCAGGAACAATGTGGTTTAAAAAAGTAACTTGCCATTGACTACATTTTGTAGCAAAGATGGTGATAGCGTAGCTGGATATCATCTCAATGCACCTGAGTTTTCAGGCACAACACAACCGATACAGCCGCACCATCAGCAGGCATTTCTACGTACAATCCCTTGCATTTCAACTTCACTGTGTAAAAGATATAAATATGATATATTTTCAAGGCGTGAGTCATCAGAATTTATGTCCTGTATCAGTAATTGACGCTCTAGGAAGTTCGAAAATGATCCTTAAATTTGCAGCTCTAAAATCAACAAAAGAGCAAGAGTGCTTTGTGTAGAACCGGCACAAAAAAGCTCAATAGCTAGTTGAATACTCAAAAACGTCGCCAACTTTGAATCCAACGTTCATCGTCTTTTACTTCTGGCTCGCTGCTTATTTAAGGAAAAGGAATTATGGTATAAAAGTGCTACTATACCGATGCTTCAAGTGCGCATGGGTTTAAGTGATGTGCTTGGTGGGCTTGATTTAGTGTGGTGGAACTCATTTGAAACTTTCCTAAAGCTGACGTTGAATCCATAAAGTTAAAGCATGATTGTGGCTTTTCGTTTCCGAATTTGGAAAGGGGAAACTATTTTGAAAGGTTCAGCAACTTTTTTTTATCTTGCTTGAACTCTTTTTTTTGGTTTAATCACTTCCGATCATGGGTAAAAAGGGCCGTGATAAGAAATCGTCCAAGGGTAAGCAAGAATCAGCCATGCTAGGAATATATACACAAGACGATTCGCATGTGTCGCTAATTCATTTATTTACAACCTTTTTGTGCTCCTCGTATAGGACGTTTGGATAAGTACTATCATTTGGCCAAGGAACAAGGTTATCGTGCACGTTCCGCGTTCAAACTTATCCAACTCAACAAGAAATATGAATTTCTCGAACGAGCTCGAGTATTAATTGATTTGTGTGCTGCCCCTGGTGGTTGGTACGTTATCATTATCCCGACGATCTGAACATTTGGGACCATTGTATATGTATTTGAAAGCTTATTCATCGCCAAATTACTTTTTGTTGTAAATAGGCTTCAAGTCGCCACAAAGTACATGCCAACGTCCAGTATGATTATTGGTAAGATTTTGGAAAATAGGAAACCAGTGATTGGCCGAACCAGCGAAATCGTGCAGGAGATCTTACTCTTTTTTTTTTCTACTTGTAATAGGTGTCGATCTTGCACCAATCAAACCGATACCCAACGTCATTACGTTCCAAGACGACATTACCACTGACAAGTGCCGAACACACCTTCGCCAAGAAATGAAGACATGGAAAGCCGATGTGTACGTCTTTTTTAATGTGGTTTAATATAATATACATGTATACAGGAAAAAGGAAGCGACAATGCTTAAACAACATATGCTTCTGTAGTGTACTTCACGACGGTGCTCCTAACGTCGGTGCTGCTTGGGCTCAGGATGCTTACTCCCAAGTTGAATTGGTACTTATGTCATTAAAGCTGGCTACAGATTTTCTGTGCAAAGGCGGTACATTCGTCACCAAGGTTTTCAGATCCAAAGATTACAACAAGCTGATGTGGGTGTTCCAACAATTGTTCGCCAAAGTGGAAGCTACCAAGCCCCCATCGTCTCGTAATGTCTCTGCCGAAATTTTCGTTGTGTGTCGCGATTACCTTGCACCTAAAAAGATTGATCCTCGCTTCCTTGACTCAAAGACCGTGTTTGAAGAACTGGATGCTGGCGAGCCGGCTAAAGTTAGCGATATTTTTAGACCTGAGGTATGAAGAAAAAAGAAAGCTACTGGAATTGCGCTATAGTTGCACTTGGCAGAGCGATAAAAGTGACTTATTCTTTGTTCATTCATAGAAAGCGAAACGTCAACGTGAAGGTTATGAGGAAGGAAATTATACTTTGCACAAGAAGATTGATGTCATGGAGTTCATAACAGCACAGGACCCTGTTGTATTTTTGGGCACATATAACCAAATGGTGTTTGAGTCTGACGAGTCAAGAAAGTAAGTTGACTGGCTCACTACATGGATATTAGTGGTAGAGCTAATGAATGCATAATTAATTTAATAATTTTTTTAATAGACTCTTGAAGAAGAGTATCACGACAGAAGATATCAAGGTGAACTGCGAGGATTTGAAAGTATTGGGCAAACGTGATTTCAAGACGTTGCTCAAATGGCGCTCTGATCTGCGTGAAGAGGTATGTAAAGTTAAACACTTCATTTTAAAGAGAATAAGGAGCTAGACAATATGTTTGAAAAAGCGAAACTAATCTCTATCAATGTTCAGTTTAAGCTTGATGCAAAGGAGAAGGTTCAAGAAGTTGTTGTCGAGGAAGAACCGTTGGACGAAGACGAACAGTTGCAGGCCGAATTGGAAAATCTTACAAAAGAAGAAGCCGCTAAACGCAAACGTGCCAAGCGTAAGGCCAACGAGAAAAAGATGAAAGACATTCACCGCATGCAACTCAACATGACCGCACCTACCGACATTGGTATCGATCAAATGGGCGTTGATGGCGAATCATTGTTCAGCATCAAAAAGATCGACAAGGAAACAGCTTTGACGCGCCTTCAAAAGGGCGACATGTCTGTTGCAGATGATTTGGCTGATGATGTGAACGATGATGACACAGCGATGGGTGGCGCTTTGAAGGGCCGGATACAACAAATGGATACAATGGTAGTTGACGGTAGCGATTACGAAGACGAACTCGATCAACAGCTTGAAGATGACTATGAGCGCTACAAGGAGCGAAAAGCCGAAAAGAATCCCAAGCTTAGAGCCAAAAAGGCGCGACAAGAGTTCGATGAATGGCACGGTTTCGATGGCAAGAACAAAGAAAAAGATGATGATATGTCATCGGATTCTGATGACAGTGACAATGACGACGAAGCCGAGGAGCAACAAGAGTCAAGCGATGAAGATTCGGATATTGAGCTGCAGCAGATTGGTGCATTAAGCGACGACGATGATGATGTTTCAACTGCACGGTCCGTCCAAAAGCGTAAGACTGGAAACTCGTTGTTAAATGATCTCGGTCACAAGGCTGCAATGGCCAAACGTACAGCCAGCGGTTTGTCCACGTCAGCATCCATGTTTTTCGACAGTGATATTTTCCAAGGCATTGATGGATTGGATGAGGAAGATGAAGACGATAGTAGCGAAGAAGAAAAGGATACGCTACAAGCTGCCATTGGTTCGAGAAAGCGGAAGGCTGAAGAGGAGTTACAACCTGAAGACGAGGACAACGAGGATGACGAAGAAGAGAGCGACTTTGAAGTTGTACAAGAAGATGACGAATTTGCGGATTCGGATGACGAAATGTGGAATGGCGTAGAGGATGAAAACTCAAAGGCTGTCAAGCGTGCTAAAGGTAAGAAAGTGTTTTGGTATCTGGGAAAAAACTAGACAAAGGAGGAAATTTTACTAAGTTTGTTGATTTACCTCGCGATTTTAGAGAAGGGTTTGGTTACCCCCGAAGCCGTGACATTGGCTCTTCAATTAGCTAACCGGGAAAAGACCAAGGCTGATCTAATCGATGAAGGATTCTCAAAAGAAGCATTCCGGGACAAGACGGGACTCCCAGAATGGTAAGTGAACTCAAGAGAGGGTGTAACGACAACATTTGTTGACATAATCCGTCCACGTGTACTAAAATTTAAATACTAGGTTTTTGGATGACGAGGGCAAGCACAATAAGCCCCATTTACCAGTAACCAAGGAGGCCGTCAAGGCACTTCGAGAGAAGCTCAAGGCATTGGATGCTCGACCTATCAAGAAGATTGCTGAAGCCAAGGCCCGTAAGAAGATGAAGATGGCTAAGCGTATGGCCAAGGCTGCAAAGAAGGCCAACGATGTCGCAGACAATCCCGACATGACTGAGAAAGAAAAGCTGCAGTCCATCAATCGCATTGTGGGGCGCGCTAGCAAGAGCAAACCAAAGAAGGCCGTCAAGTTGGTTGTGGCCAAGGGTGCCAATCGTGGTATCAAGGGTCGTCCTACGGGTGTTAAGGGCAGATACAAGATGGTGGATTCTGTAATGAAGAAAGAACTGCGTGCTGAAAAACGGCGAGAAAAGAAAAAGAAGAAGGGTGGTCGTAGAAAGTAACAGAAGCAATCAGTCTTTTGTGTTTTTTTTACCCGCTTATCTCATTCATAACAGTTTTCTCGCCATCATTACTTACACACACGCATACGTAATATTCTTCACCGCACACTGTTTTTTTCATCACATATCAACAAACACATCTCATCACTCAACACCTTCAAAAGAAAAAAAACCCGTCTGTACTCTAGTAATCTCTTGTTATTTTGCATGTGTTACAGTTTTCAATTCGCATTATATTTTTTATTCATATATACTTATTTTTGCTTTATTATAAAACATATCTGGCAGTGGTATATGGATGATAATGCACGGTTTCACAAAACTGTCTCGGGTTCTGGGGTGATACGAAATGATTAGGTTATCTTGTCAACGATTCTAGTGGATGGAAATTCATAGTGCGTTTTGACGCTAACACATTTGACATGGTTACATAATCGCAGTTATGAACATTCTCTCAAGGTATCCAGCTCGATGGAGGAATTATCACTTCTAATCCTCCATACTTCACTATATGCAGCAATGAGGCATACGAACACGATTCTAGTTTACATTCGCTAAGCATTCTCAAGTATCAGTTTGCTCGGAGCTTTCGCAGAAAGTTCGCCATGGTTGTTGCTGATATGCTTCCGAATGAGCGCACGAGATCGATGGATTGCAAAGATGCGATATTGGGAGCCCGAGCGTTAGTTCTAGTGCCGTACAGCTCTGTAAAATACTAGCCATGGTGCTCGCCGATAAGCAGTAGCTGTTTATGTACACTCTTTCAAGTTTTCGTCTAATTGAGAATACAACTGTATAGCTCGAGATAGCTGTCATAGAAAATGGCATATTGGTGCCGTCGGTCATGCTGATGTGTAGATCCTGCAAGGTATTTATACTTTGGACCTTCAAGGGTTCTAGCGCTCACATTCCGCGGATAGTTTGTAGAGGAGACATTTGCAGACGTGTTGCCCTAGCAGTGGTTTGGAGATGGTCATAGGTAAACCCTCGAAACATTTTGGTGGGGAGTGTGACGTTCAAGTAAAAATATAACAATAACAGAAGACCATTTTGATAAAACCTTCGGTAGTTTTAGATCTATTTGAGACGATGATAGTGCTCCTATAAATGCTCTAAATTTCATAAGAATATGGATCGATGCCAAGATGACGTAGCAGTGGACAGTGTGGTAGCAGTTACTCAAACAGATGGTTTGTGTCAAAGTCATCATGTAACAATTAAGTTAATATGTGAAAGGGGGATTGTGACATATACCGTACGTAGAGGAGAATAGCACACACTCCAAAACAACACCATACTAGAATGTCGGTCTGCTTTAAAGGGGAATCCCATCAACATGCTATTGCCGATATCTATTGTTAGAACCTATGTAATCGATAGCTTTGTCAGCGTATTTGGAGCAATGTGACAAACAGTAAAAGGGAATGCTGTCGGAACAATGCTTGTTATTCAGAACTATTTTCCGTTTATGAGTAGATCATGTCGATGCATACAATCGATTAAATCCGAAATCATCGGTAGCTGGTGGACTGACCTAGAGGAGGTTTACCATCTCAACAGATCGTTGTAGCTGGCGAGGTGCCATGTCGTGCACCTTTCGATTCTGTAAAGGTGCTCTTTTGGAAAATAAATCTGCCAATTAAGACATGTATAATGCATAGATATGCACACATTTTGCAATACGTGGCAAGCATTCTCTCCAAAGCTTTGAGACGAGTACGCTTGCGAAAATGCATATTAGTCATAGCGATAACCGCCCATCATGTGAGAAATATACGTCCAATGATTTCAACTGACAGCTTCGCTACAGGGTCCACCCGTCGTCTAAGCCGTTTAATAGCTTCTTCTTGTTGCCAGTAAAGAGTGGGCCATTCAAATAAAGATACTAGACGTAGACCTTGTTCGTAATTGCCAATAGTGTGCTGTTATTTTCCTTGCGAAGAACAGATGTGGCCGGCGGCAAGGTATGCTTCGGATGACAGAAGCGTGTAGTCGATCGCTACTAGTGCATTAGACAAAGGCTTTACTGAGCTTCCTTTGTCTTCCGAGGGGCATAAGCACGCACGATTGATATAGAGCTGCGAGCGTTAATTGCTGCTGTACACTGTGAAATCGCTTATTCGTGGCCATGAGACGCGTCGTAAAAATGGCTGACAAGAGCTTGTATCATAACAGACAGAATAGACGTGTTCAGGTCAGTGAGCGTACGTGTCAATGTAAACTAGCTTACTTTTTGGAATTTTGTTGATGCTACCAGGGGTACGAGGGCGGACCCCAGTCTACGTGCATCAAGTTGCTCTGGTTGTTTATGGAATCTCTTCATCTTCTTCTGGGACTTGCTCGTCACCAGCTTCGGTCTCTTTGTCATCGGCAACCTCAACCAACAGAGGAGCGAGAGCAAGAAAAAGGACAGGAGAAGTGGGAGCATAGTGCTGGAGTGGAAGGGACGACGGCAGGCCGGGCGAGAATTGCGGCGGCGAGGAGATGGTCGAGTGCGAATGGTACGACAGTTGTGATGCCGCGTCAGGGTCACAAGGAGTAGTGACTATGTTGTTATCGTCCAAGTTACAATAGTCTATACTCTTTCGTATGATGGTTCATCGTAAGAAAAGAAGAGAAGAAGAACAACGTGCTTTCTGTATCCTGCTTCCTTTTCGTAGTTGCTCTGATCAGCACAGAGCATCTCAACGAATTTTTTTTTTCCGGTTCATTCCACCGATGATGTCTTTACCGCTCACAGTGAACATCCTTCTTCATGAGGCTTGCTTAACCACGCTGCATAAGAAAGCTGCTTATTGCTATGGCATTCAGTAGTCATGACAATCCATGTTCCCGAAAACCGCTTGTTGCCAGGACAAGCATGTCAAAACACATTTTATTTTTATTCGCGGCACCCATTTTGAGCGAAATAGCGGCTGTTCTTGCGAAGAGATTCGCAGCGCTTTGCTCACACAATTGCAACTAGCGCAATGGGCAGACACGTAGCAACACGTACATACTAAACCCTTGTTTTTTCGAGGCTCTGTGGTCAAGTTAAGATGTTTTTTGCGCAGGGTCTCCATTGTACTTTGCTGTCATGCTCGGCTTCTTCATGCGCAGACCTTCCGTGCTGGCCGTGAATGAAATTGGGGTGATGGAACCAAAGCTGGGGGACGTCACTCGTCCAGGCGAAAACACTACGCTGAATACGCTTATGGAGGTGTAGTTTTAGACTACTTGTCGTCTTTAGTCTCGCATTGAGCTCGCTCGGTGGTCAGCTTAACGAACGATAACCCTAAGCTGGCAAGCGTGGTGGATGCAGAGAAAGGGGTTCTTTTCAAGAAAAAGAGCGTCGACCTTATATCCTATCTATCTGCTTTTCCCACTAGGCGCGTGAAGTATGATACATGTGAAAAAAGCAAACCAGATTGGTCGGAACGTATCCTCTGAACGAACTTTTTATCTTACCATTATTTTCGCAAACTGAACTACGCGACCACAGAAAGTAAAAAAAAATAAAAATAAAAAGGCGTAGCAAAGTGTGATAAAGCGCGTTGTGATCGTGTTACTGTCGGCTGTCATTGTTCTCCGCTTTGTTTAGCACGGAACTGTGGGTGGGCAAAAAAATAAGGAACTTGTCTTGCACATAAAAGAAAGGTAAAAGCGGCAAAACGTTTATGAGAAGAGTGCGAAAAGAAAAAGATTGTTTTATTTTGTTTATCATTTTCTTATTTGTGTGTAATAATGTGTGTAATAAATAATAGTAATAATAATCTGTTCGTTCCTCACCCTCCACTGACCCGCACTGGTACATTGCAGTCATCTCTTCATGGCGGACCACTGAGCCCATCCAATCATCAGAAAACTCTGAACAATCGCCAGCACTGGCACGGAACTGATCATAGCACGGACAGTGACTCCCGCGCATACAGCCCAACGCCTTTCCAAAACGAACTAAAGTGAAGAAGAAAAAAGAAGTAAAAGAAAAGCGAAACTGCTCGCTTTATATAGACGTTTTTTGACTGTCACGCTCGGGACTTTAAAAAGTTCCACCAGGCTCCATGAATTTTCATTGGCTTTTGCTTACTAGTATGGCTTTCAGCATATGGCTCAAAGGGACTATCACAAAAGGAAAGGAAAGGGGGTGTGCTTGGTGGTCATCTAAACAAACGTGCTGCGGCGGTAGTGGTACGTGTCTCTCACCATGCGGAGCTGTACCCTCCGATGGTATCGGCGCTTGTTTGTGAGTGGGGCCGTGCACGGCACCGTGTCAAGCGAAAACAAAGACACGAATGCGAATGAGCATGTACATTCACGGAAGAAGTGCTTTTCTGTGAGCAGTCAATGCCGGAATTAGGCGTGACTGACAAGGTAGACAATTTACCATCAGTGAATATTGAGAACACCATGCACCCAGCAGCCAGTTTACAGTCCTTCAGCCAACAAGGCAAACAGTCGTCGTGTGTGTATAGCGTGTTTCACAGTACTTTATCTTTTGACTGTGTGTGTGGTACGTAATGTTGTGTGTGTGCGGAAAAAGATGCCCCCATCGCTGCAGTATATAATAAAGACCCGTAATCTTTTATGTTTAACCGTGCTCGTCAAACTGTTGCTTTACCATTGTCGCTATCCGCCAACAGTTCTCTCCCTCCATCCCCCATCCCAGTTTATGCTGCTGTTAAAGTTCTATCCTCCATCCCGAGCATGTGCTGCTGCAGATACGTTGGCCCGCTCATAAATAAGTATCCGCTGCCGCTAGTGAATTCGACTCATTCCTTTATTGTTTTTCATTGCTGCCGATAAAGTAAATCGGTTCGTTTGTTTTTGTGCGGTTCTACGTTCTTTTAAAGCAGCGTTTAAGTTCCTTTGGGACGATCAGGAAAATAACACTACAAACGATGACTTTTTACAACGTTTGACACTTTTGCGCTTAATTCGTTGCTCCATTTATTACCTTGTTTACTCGCCATCCCTTTGTGCATTTCGAGTTTTCGTTTCAGGGGAAAGCTGTTGGAACGATCAAGGTTTGACACACGCGTAACTTCGTCACTATCCAAAAAAGAAAAATCTGTGTTGCACTCTTCCTGAATTTCTTATTCCTAGACTACCTTTGCTTCCTTGATGATTTGCGTACGTTATGCTTGTTAATAGTGTGGGTTTGTGCGTACGTGATCGGAGCCTTCGTTATGTGATAATAAAAAAGAAAAGAGAGACGCAGCGAATTTACCCCTACTGTTGCCTGTTTTCACAGCAAATTACACATTGTGTCTCTGATCGTCTCTTTGCAGACTACTTGTCGTTGCCGAATAATGATGTTCTAATTAAAG